CTTAATTCCTCGTGAAATTAAACTCACGGATATACAATTTTTATTGGAGTGCTTTTTTTTTATAAACTTTTTAATAAAAAAACAAATAACGGGCGTATTTTTTACTGTCAACTATAGCTCACCGAAATCTCTCTATGCATTTGCTTAAAACGCAAACAAAACGTATCATGACCCATTTTCGTCGCTCTGCGGACTTTACTAGTATGCATACGGGTTTACTATATTTATTGCGCGGTTATACCAAGTTTACGAAGTATATTTCGCTGCAGAGAGCGGTTCTCGCGAATACACGCTCATAATACACGAATATAACTTTGATAACAAGCTGCAATTTCAGACAAATATTGAAAAGGTTGTTAATTGAATAATCCGAAACTCAAGCGTTATGCTGCTGACGACAATCCTTTCGCTACTTATCCATTTTCGATCCGCTGATGTTATCAGTCTTAAGTCATAAATTGCACGAAACGACCTAACACTTTGGTTTATAAATCGATGATACCTACAATATGTAGTACGTAGAGTTTCAAAAATTGATATTGATCAAAATATAATGTAATATATTCACCAAGAATCGGAACTAGTATTAATTATGTAAAGATTAATCCTCGATTAACGTTTTGTTAAAATATTTGCTTAAAACTAACGCGACTACAAAGCAAGATTATATTATTATGGACGTTTATTCTGAAAAAAAATTCGAACCTTTAATCTCTTATTATACGTACATCTCTTATAAATTGCAAATTAATAATACAATCACTTGTAAGATATGAACAAAAAAATCTTGCGTATTCAAACATTGATATCTGTATATGTGTATTGTTTTACACACACACACACACATATATATATATATATATATACGTATAGAGATTCCCATCATACTTGTCCATAGTTCAAATAATAGCGCGTTGTGAATAACGCTTGAAAACATACAGGCACTTTATGTAAATTTACGATTGCGCGAAAGAGTCACGGTTGATTGTCGATGATTCAGTTTCCTCGCGCATGAACTTTTAGGTCGGTCTGTAACGCATAAAACATCCTGCGATAGTACCCACGTAGATACCGTGCCGCGATCGTGCGTTCATGGAACATGTAGAATCGAGCGATGAATAAGAATGGACACAACGACGAATAGCGCGCCACTGTTTCATTCATTTCTGCCAGATTCACCGTCGACCAAGGAAAGAGCCTAATGAAATTCGCGTGTCTCGCGTGTGTTATGTCATATGTGTATTCTCGCAACGACGTGCGTACAATTATAAATAAATGATCTTTTTATCCGCGACTTGACGTCGCTTATGTCGCGTAAACTCTTTACGACAAATTATACGATTCAACTTGATTGTTCGCGATATAATCGGAAGTGCTATTTAGATTGAATGTAAGTGAGCTTTTCCAGAGATTTAACGTGAAGATATTTATGAGTTTATAATTAAATGTCAAATTATATATCAATACTATATTATATAAAAACGCGAAATTTTGTCTACATAACTTGTACACATTTTAATATTGTTAATTGCAATTAATAATTCATAAATTATCATATTTTCATTTTTTACAAGAAAATGCAATTACATTTGAAGAGAGAAAGAGTGAGATTGTATAATCTAAAACTCCGCTAATTGCATGCAATATATGTGGTATGCAACGTCGCATAAATTATAATATATCGCGTAGTACAGGCATATTTACAAGAGTCAAAACTTTTGTGAGATAATTTCCTGATGTTTCTCTTCTAACGAAGGAGACCGTCACTGCCAAATGGCTCGTCGACGTAAGTTTCGTCGTTTGACTTTGCGCGAAGAGGAATACCTTCGTCGACGTACCAGGTTGGCTCGCCAGCTCCTCTCGCTTCTTTTTTTGTCCTTTTCTATCTCTCACTCTCTTTCTCTCTCTTTCTTCTCTGCATTTGCGTATATAAATAGCGCGTGCCAAAATTATCGGGGCACTTCGGCGAACGGTGCCGCGAAAGTGGCGTCCGAGAACAGACCAGCGATTTCTGCTAGCTATAAAAATATACGCGGGAACGTCATGGACGCCTGATTGGCGACGTGCATTCTTCAACGAAAAATACGACGAGCGCAATTGTACGAAAAACAGAAGATATAACAAAATTATTCATCAGCAACGATTAGCAAAATGACATTAAATCTATTTTTTTTTCTTTTATTTTTTAATGAAAAATGAACCGTCAAAGTTAAAAACGAACTATATAATATTCTAAAATATTGTAATACAGAAAGTATTACAATTAATATATTGTGTGTGAAACTATCAATTTGCCATTTAATTCGTTTCGATGCTGTTTGTTTTGCACGGATATTATATAAATATTTATGAATTAAATATTTTATTTTTATTTTAACAATCAATATGTGAATTATATTTGTTCATTAAAATTTGCTCCATTAAAAATATTGCGATGTACAGAGACAATGACAATCAAATTTTTACGGTCTGCAGTTCTGAATTTTAAGCAAAATAAACACACAATTTCGATACTGAACTCAATAAAAAATTTAAAACACGCGTAATCCGCTTTGAATAATTTATATACGTTGTATAATGATATGATGTATTGTAAGTTTTTAAAAATAAGCAAAAATATAGATTTTTAAATTAAAAAGAGAGAATTTAGAAGAAGAAAAAAATATTAATCTTTATATGAAAACAGTATTTAACTTTAAACTAGAACGAATTAAATTAAAAATGATTCCTACAATTCTGTACATATATAATTACGTAACTTGAATCTTTCATATAAAAGATATGGATTAATCTCAAAATATCTTTATACAACTGCGGTGCATACTGATAACATCAGTTTAATGATCGCATCAAATTTGAGTTGTAATTCGAGTTGAAGGAATTGGCGTCAGCTGCATCCGATGACGCGGTTGGTAATTACACGATTAATCGACGTATATAGGTCGACAACGTTGAGAGAAAGAGAGGCAAGAATGTCGAGAAATTACAATTCTAACTAATTTCATAAAAAGTAATTTGTTGTCGATAGCGGTGAGTAAACACGAAAGATCTGATCGCTTATAAATGGAAATGTAGGAGCAAAAAATCGTGTTCATACGTAAATGGATCTGAACTGTTGAACTCGCTCCTTCACTTCCGCTTTCGCGACGTCGCATTATCACATAATGTTGCGAGGACGATCTCTGTCGCGTCTTGAATATTGAATATGCGGATAATTGCGTTTAACTAATTTTCATTTTGACCTGCATCGGATATGATTAAAATAATTCTACAAGATATTATATATATTAATGTTAAAAATGTAAATAAAATAAAGATGAAGTATATGTACATATGTAATTAGATGTACATATGTTATATATATATATATATAAAAGTGTGTAATTTATTTTAAATTATTCTATGTAATTAATTTTTAACTAAAAAAAATTAAATTATTTATGCACAATTCAATAAAATGCTAATGTCTCTCAAAACTATTGTATATAATATAAATATTATAAATATTACGTTTGTTTAATAAATGTTGAAGTTTTAACTTGTGAATTTCATAAATATGTTAAATACAGAGAACCAAATTAATCACAGTCACAGAGGATAAAATAACGCACATTTGAAAGCATTATGTCATTAAAATGGAATTTAGTAGAATCGACGCACTGCAAGATGCATAATTGAGTTTCCTAAATGAATTACATATTTGCAGAATTATTATGTGATCACCGATGCGTTTTCTGTTTCTACACGACAGACGATTTTTTAGACACGACTCTATTATTTCTTTACTGCGGAGAAATATCTATCTATTGACAGATTATTATTAGTGGTGATTATTCACACTTGAATATTTGCTCGCAAAAGTAATGCAAAAAATATAAGCTTACTTTTCTTTTTTGTGCAAAATATATGTTTAATGAAATAATAACATACGTATTCGTTGCATTTTTATTTTTTATCACTCGAGCATAATTTAATAAATTTTAATCAACAATTTATATTTTTTAAATCTTAATCTTGTATAAAATTAATTAACGTGAAAATAAATGCAGCACTGACATAAATATAATATATGTGTGTTATTTTTACTACGATAATATATAATTTACAAAAAATTGTAAATTAAAAATTAATATTGCAATACACATGTTTTAATCAATATAAACCATGTATTTTCGAATTATTTATTTTTTTATTGTCTTGTATAAATATACGATCATATAAATAGGATATTGCAAGTAACATCTAAAAAGCAAGACTGTGGAATCGTAATATTAATATCTAACGTAATGTTTGATATGAACTCGTATGTATTTACATATCTCTTTCTCTTTCAATGCAATTATTCATAAAAAATTAATTCATTTCTACGTAACATGTAATTGTTGGTGCTATGTAATCGATGGAATATAATGTAACACCTACTAAATGAGAGTCTGTATTATCTTATCCCACACATAACATTAAGAGTGCATTAACGTCTATGTATTTATGGAAACGTCATAGCAATTGCAGATCAGAATTTTTTCCGGTATTATGATACTTTATTGATGCGACCTCGAGCATTTCATGTACAATCATTGCCACGTGCGGCAACGACGGAGATTAATCAACAAATCTATCATCATCGTAAATTCGATGCGTCATTAACACTTTACGTAATAAAAAAATCTTTTCACATAAAAATAATCAATTCAACGTCCGGGGCTTTTTACACATTTCCCCGCGTCAATAGTCATATCGCATAGCATCCTGATGCGGTGAAGATAATCGGCAATTTATCAATTAATTGACGTTCCGCGTATTTACTTCGCGGAATAGTTTCGCCGATTCGCGCTGAGAGAATCGAGAAATCTTTATGAATCACTTCCCCCCTTTGACGTTCTTCGTTCTCTGTTGTGAGTCACCTGAGAGTCCACCACCCAATCGCCTTCTCTTCTTCGCTTCTTTTTTTCCTCAATTCCGATAGTCAGAAGCGATTAAATGTGCCGTACTCTTTGCAGAGACCCACACTGTGGCGATGACAGACCCACAGTTGACCAACAACAACAATAACAACAACAATAACAACAACAACAACGATGGCGAGCCAAAGTACCTGCACAAGAAGTTCAAAAAGATGGCGACGACCGAAATCGCGCCGAAGGTCGTCGAGTCCAAGAAGGAGACCACGGCGAACAACATCGTTCTCGCCGAGACGCTCAAGCGGAAGGACGTCGACAAGGACGGTAAGGAGTCCCCGAAAGAATCCGGCAACAAGCTCGAGGTTTCCCCGGAACCTGAGGGGACCGAACCTATCGCCGAGTCTCGGAAGAGTGGCCACACGTGCCCTTACTGCAAGCTGACATGCGCCAAGCCGAGTGTCCTTCAAAAGCACATCAGGGCGCACACGAACGAGCGGCCGTACCCGTGCAAGCCGTGCGGATTCGCTTTCAAAACCAAATCGAATCTGTACAAGCATTGCAGGTCGCGCTCTCATGCGCATAAGATAGAAAAAAGCGACAAGGTAGCGAAAATGAAATTATTATTCAAAATAATTTTAAATATCATTTTATCGAACAATTAATAGAACATATTTTTCTTACTCTCGATTTGACATGGTTAAATTTCAATAATGTTATCTAACATTTTTATAGAATTTTCATTTTCCAAATATATAAGAATTATTGATAGAAAGATGAAATGTATTGTTTAATATAATATTTTTGCAAGTTTCTTCTATTCAATAACAATTTCGAATTTATTAAGTAATTTAAGATTCTAGATTATACTAAACGTCTCAACGCGACATTTTTTTGCAGATGTCTGAAGATTCAGATATAAGCCTGTCAGACAGCGCTAGTAATGGCACTGGTACGCCACCTCCGCCTCCCGTTTCGATGCCCGCGACGACGACGACGACGACGACAGCGTCCACTGCGATCAAGATCGTAAAAACCGGCAAAATATACAAGCCGAAGTTCCAAGCTCGAACGGCCCTACAGAGTGTCAACAGCGACACGGAGACGTCTTCTTTATCTCCCAGTTCTTCCAGTAGTTCTTCCTCCTTCTCCTCCGTAACTACTTCCGTTCCTAATTCCGCCAAACCGAACGCGGAACAGTTGCAGGAACACATCGACAAGATCATCACGGACAACCAGGCGATTGTCGACGCGGTGGATCCACGTCTGCATAAACTGATGCAGCGCCAGCAGAGCCTAGTGGAGACGAAACAATCATACGAGCAACAACCGTTGAATTTGTCTTCCACGGAGGAAACCTTGAGCAGCAGAAAGCGATGCTACAGCGACAGCTGCGCGCAGGAAGCGAAAGAAGGCGCGCACAACTCCGAGAGTTCGATCATCAAAGATCTCCTTCTGAAAACTCGTGATTTCGCGAACGGATCGATACCGGAGATTGCATTGGAAAATTTCGTCTGTCCTACTTGCAATATTCCCTACACCAGCATAGACAACCTAGAGACTCATCGTAAATATTATTGCAAGGGTAGTCCTCGAAGAGGAACGGACTATCAGATAGAGCTGGAGAAACGAGACTCCGACTTTGATTCCAAGTCTTCCGATTATTATGGCATTTTGCAACCTCTACCATCACCAGGTCCTTTACTGGGCAATACTAGACTGGTCGATGCGTATGTTCCGCCCTTCAAGAAGCAGAGAACGGAGTCTGTGCCGACTAGCTTAAGATCGCTGGAAGAACTCAGTAAATACCCACGTCCGAACTCGCTACAGATGTTCGGCGGCGAGGTGAGGATCCTGGATAACCAGGGCGAGGTAACGAAAACGATGAGGATCGAGCCGCGTCAGACCAAGTCGCCCACGAGCGAGCACATAGTCAATGCCAAGTGCGTGACCTCGGAAACGGCGTCGATAGTGGTGAGGTCAGGACTTCATTCCGGTGGTACCATGCTGCACAAGTCGTCGAGCATACCGGCCAGTACGCCTACTCCCTCCATATCCCTGTCCAACACGCCTAACATGGCGTCCATCATGCCGAACATATCAGCTCCAAATTTAACGCCTACTATGTCTTGCTATAATTATTTAGAGCCGCATCTCAATCCGCTGACGAATATCACTGCCTACAATCCGTTGACCTTGCCGCAAACCGGCATCACGAGCATTCTCCACGGCGACAAAGTCATACGTTACGTGCCTGGTATTCCCGGACCGGATACTCTGACCGGTACGCCGACCATAGACATATCTCCGAGTATAACGGCCGGTGAAAGCGGCTACAAGGTGATACCGGGTGTACCGGGCTTGCACATGGTACATCAGCCGTTGGATCTAGCTAATCCTGTGAGGGTGCAACCTAATACGGTGCAGTGCGGCATGGCCGAGTGTAGTGTAGAAATGTTTCCGTTGCCTGGACACACTTCTTCTTTGGACCAGCCTCTGGACTTGGCCAGTCCGGCGAAGGAGTCGGCAAAGATCAGCTTTAAAACTCCCAGCGTCGACAGTCTGAAGAACGGTTTGACCAGTCCTAAAGTTCCTAGCGTCAAGGTCGAGACCTCGACGGACAAGCATCGCGTGAAAATAATGACGATGCCCATGAACAAAGCGGAGCTAGATCGTCATATCAAGAATAACGTGACCGTGAAGTACAAAGGTATGGAAAGTCCGCGAGACAGGAGAGAATTTACGTATGATAAAAGTCCGAAGTTAGATAAAGCTTTTAGTTATCCGAATGGCGTGGATCCAGCGACTTCGTCGAGTTCTTACAGTAAATTGAAATACACGACTAAGGTCGTTTCGGAAAATAAGAAGAAGTTTTCCAACTGGGGCGTCAATGAGATAGATGCCGGCAGAGTAGCACCTGTAGAGACGCATGTCGCGATTTCCAAATACGATCTATCATCTCACGAGAACGGTCGATTGAAGAACAACGTCTCTTCAGATGTACATGGATGGACGTCCAAGGTTGTGGATAATTATATGTTCAACGGAGCCAAAGCAAAGGCAGACAACGCGCCGTCGGTGATACTTGTGAACTTAGATTCTTCCAAAACAGAAGTGCCAACGAAAACTTCCGCAGAGATAGTTGTTAAAGACAAGCAGCCCGAGGCGAAATCGCCAAAGAGCGGCGGTGATGTCGCTAAGGAAGCGACTAACTCCAACAAGTTCTTGAGACCTACGTCCTTGCCGCTGAAGCCCGGCACTTTCACGCCGAAGAAGCATCACGGGATTACGCCTACGGCGAACACCCTTCCTCTTATCAGTCCGGAGACACCTCGACCGAAAAAGTCATACGGACAATTGTATCTGAACGGACACGCCTACACATATCTAGGATTAAAGTGTTCCACCAGAGTGTTCTATTGCACCCTGAATAGACCGCAGCCGATGTATGTCACACAGCAGCACGGTCTATCAATGTACTCGAATTGGAAAAGTAAGGAGGCACCCCTGGACGTGGACATGGCGCACTACGACTCCCGGCACAGACCTCTTAATTACACCACCGCGTGGAAAAAGCAAGAAGATATTCTGACGCACTCCTCGCAAAGACCAACCACTCCTACCAGTCCAGACAGCGGATTGGAGAGTGATATGCAGGAAAAAGCGAAGAGGGTCAAGATATTTGACGGAGGCTTCGAGAGTAATGAAGATTATACTTATGTACGCGGAAGAGGTGAGTAATATTTCAATTTACATTATTACTTTGTATATAAAATAAATTATTTTATATATATATAAATATTTTAATATCAATATTAATATAAAAGATTTTATATATAAAAAAAATTTGACATTCTTTTAAGAATGTTTTAAGATGTGTGATATATAATATTTCTTTCTTTTTTTTTATTAACGTAATTTTTAATTTATAATCTAATTTATAATTGTGTGGAATAATTTATCTAATGCATTCATGTTATCGCATTCATCGAAAGAGACGTTAAAAATAGATGTTAAAAATACAAATGTAACATTTCTTTAAAATCTCAAAACAGTTTTGAAATTAAAAGTATATATTATTTAAGATCGAGGACGTTACATCTGCGAAGAATGATATTCGTTGTAAGAAACCAAAAAAAAGCAGTATAATCTAAGAATGCTTGTGATCGTAGCATCCGTAAAATAATTTCATTCGTGAATAATAATTTTAATTTTGTTAGTAAGATTTTTGACAATAAATTTAGACATAAAGAACTTTAATTATCTTAAGGCATATCATATATATCTTTATATATAATATTTATATCTGTACATATATTATTTAAGGTCGAGGACGCTACGTCTGCGAAGAATGTGGTATTCGTTGTAAGAAACCGTCTATGCTAAAGAAACATATCAGAACACATACAGATGTTAGACCATATACCTGCAAGCACTGTACATTTAGGTAAGTTCTTCAGACTTTTCTATGTAGCATAACAAAAAATGTGTTTAATTCTATTAATTTCCCTAACATTTATCATACAATTTTAATAATTTTTGACAGTTTCAAAACAAAAGGCAACCTCACGAAGCATATGAAATCCAAGGCTCATTACAAAAAGTGCGTGGAATTTGGCGTGGTACCGGTTCCCACGACTGTCTGCGACGACAATATTGACAAGGAAGCCATTGCGCGATTAGCGGCCGGTGGCGGTAACACGGAAGAATCCTCGGAAGAGGAAGAAGAGAGCGAGGGCGAGGAAAGCGAAGAGTCCGGTAGCGAGGAACAAGAAGCTGCACAAAGTCTACTGTGTCTTTCGCAGCATAACGCAACGAATAGATTACCGGGTTTGCTGCCGTCCGGCAGACCTACGACATATCCGTACACGTTAACCCAACCGACGACCTCCACGGTGGACATCGTATCTACCGCGACGAGTACAACGATCGTGAGCAGCCAAAGCATCGCCGCGCAAGAGACGGCTTTAATACAAAACGAATTATCGCCACGTTACTATTTCCCATCGAGCCGCGATGCTACGGAAGAGACGAGGATGAGTGTTATTCAGTCATCGAAGAAAGATGATTCCGACTTGGAAGTTGAAGAGATCACCGATGTCACAGAGTCGCGTCATCAACTTTCCCAGCCCATGGATCTTACGACGAAGCAGACGACTCAACTGTTGCACTCGCCGATCTCGCCAAGGACCAGACCAACGGACATACTGACTCCTGTTTCAGAACCGGTCCTATTGCAGACAATAGTCCAGACGATGGAGCGATTGCCCATACAGGGAAGAGAATGGAAGCCGAACGCGGAAAGTCATATGTTGCAAGCGTATCTCACGGAGAGACACATGATGGACAGTAAAATGAAGCAACAGTATCGCGTGGGAAACACCAAGTTAGACAACAAACAAATGCAAGAAAAAGATATTTATCCGCGACATCAGGATCTCAATAGGTCCAGGCACATGGATTCCAACAGCATTCCATCAGTGACGTACACCGATTCCAGCAAAATGCAGTACACTGCTGTATCTAGAATTAAGCACATGACAAAGCATACTACTGACGATATTAAGATGGAAATCAGAGAGAAAATTTATTTCAACAATATGGCAATGGAGAGACGAACGATGTTAGACTACGAGACAATTCACAAAGATAAGGAACAAACTAATCGTCTGGTTTCTGATCGTGAAAATTTCGAGCTTGGTCTAACTAACGGTCCCACTGGTGCAAGGTCAAGTATCGAATATGGTCTACCTATGAGCAAAACTAACAGCTCGATGGAGAGATCGATTTGTCCTACTACACCTATTCGCAGTACACCAAGTATCGACTGCCACTCACCGAAATCTTTGAGTATAGACAATCGACAACCATTGATGCAACACACGAACAACGAGATTGACAGAAGCTCCATGTTCAACGCGATGAAAATGATGAGCGAGGTGGAAAGGTCGAGAGAATGTCATACTGTCAATCAGGAAATGAGGCCCGCGAATCACGAGATAAGACTGGCGAGCAGCGACAGTCGAATGCAGAGTCCCCGGAATCTCGATCTAAGACCACCCAGCAGAGAGATCAGAACGCCCGGTCAAGAGTACAGAACGCAAAACCACGCTGAACTGAGACTCGCGAGTCAGCAGGAATACAAAATGCGCGGTCAAGAGTTAAGATCGCCTAGTCGCGAATACAAACCGTCGTTCGCTCACGATGTGCAAGTCATTATAAATCAGGAACTTCTGCCCTCGACGAACATGGAAATGCGGCAAACAAATTCAGATAATAGGCCATCGAGCAGCGAGATGAGAACTCTTTTGGAGTATAGAGCGCAGCCACAAGATCCCCGTGCCAGCTACGAGATAATGCAATCGCCTATGCACGAATCGCCCAAGTCGCAGAACGTCGACGTGAGAAATGCATCGCCCCAGGAAGCACAAATCATGTACTACGACGGGAAACAGACCGCGGATACCGTTAAACAAAACACACCGGATAGTATGAAACGGACAGCAGTCAGAAAGATAGTCGTCGGTGGACCAGATTTTCGATCACCGTCACCGAATACGGGAAATCCGAAACCGCAAGCAGAATTTTTACAACCGTCGAGTGGGCCGGCGCCTAACTTCGTTAGGTAAATTAAATGTTTATTATTTTGTCGATGCTAACTCAATGCATATATGATAATGTTACATTAGATTTATTAAAAGTATATTGAAAGAAATACGAGCATAAAAATTAGTAAAACATTAAAGTATGATTCTTTTTGCTTTTATTAAGAAAAATCTTCGATTTGTGTGTATAATATAATACGTATATATACATATATTACATATGTATATATAATAATTTTTTATATAAATATCACAATGTGTACACAAATATAAATTCGAGATCATGAATATTCTTGATCCATAAAAAATTAAATCTGTCATCAAAAAGATTTTTATTTTATTTTAATTAAATTAAGTAAAAATAAAAAATATTTCTGATGAAAGATTTAATTTTATAGATCGAGAATATCCATGTGATCTCGAATTTATATTTTTATTATATTAAATAAAGAAAAATAAAATTTGATTAATATTGACATTTAATTAAATTTTATAATTCGTAGTTCTTTTTAGAGAATCGGTATCCTTAACTGATATGTATTTTTATAAAAATAATTTCGATTGCAATAATTAAGATTATATGGAATATGATTGCAGTTTGACAGATGATGGTAGGAGTGTATGTGGAATTTGTAACAAGGTGTTCAACAGGCCTAGTCAGTTACGGTTGCATATCAATATTCATTATTTTGAGCGGCCATTCAGATGCGAAAGTTGTGCAGTTTCCTTCCGGACTAAGGGCCATTTAACGAAACACGAGAGATCCGTTTCTCATCATAATAAGGTAAGCGACGAAATTTATTTTCACGAGCAATACTATAATATATAATTTTTCATAAATCATATATATATATATATATATATATATATATATATATCTAATTATTTAATTAGATATATAAATTTGTATATATAATATTTCACATTACAGGTCAGTATGACTTCTACATTTGGTGCAGCGACTATCCACAATCCCAGGCCTTTCAAATGTACAGATTGTAAAATAGCGTTCAGAATACACGGACATTTGGCTAAGCACCTTCGTAGCAAGATGCATATTATGAAATTAGAATGTTTGGGCAAATTACCATTTGGAACATTTGCGGAAATGGAAAGATCTGGTGTCAACTTGAATGACATTGACACGACAGACTGTGATAATAGTCTTAATAGTCTGCAGGTTTGTATAAAAATAAATTCTAATTACATGCATTTGTTAAATCCAGCAAAGAAAATGTCGATTTAAAAAAAAAACGCGCTTTCCTCGTTGGATTTCAGATATTGGCTCAGAGATTATGCGGGAAGGATCCTGCTAAAATCGCGCAATGGGATTCGGAAACTTTGCCCGCGCCGGTTGCGAGCGGTAGCGAGACCTCATCGGACGAAGGTGAACCTATACACGCGCTTCACGCACAATATATGAAAGCGACGTCGGACGCGGATGTTTCCCGATCATATCATGTGCCAATGATTACCGAAGAATCGAAAGCCATTAACGATGCTCGCCTACGCAGTCCTCAGTTTCATCAGCAAAGGCGCGATTACGCTGTTAAAGAGCAACGAACAACCGTCGTCTCGATGGAGGACACGAGAGCGGAGGACAATTTACAATCATACAAGTGCCAAGTTTGCTCCGTATCTATGCGTACCATAAACGAGTTACAGGTACACCGTTTTGTTGAACATAATATTGAAACAGATTCTAGTACAAATATCCACGGAGATAGAAGTGCGGGTAGGGAAAAAGAGAATACTCAGAAAAGAATCGCAGAAGAATCTGCAGCGAAGGAAGATCACAGTAAGACTAGAAGACTAGAAGATACGTAGTGCCAAAATGATGTAGCATGCTGAAGAATTTGTTAGGATGTGTTGCACACTTCGAGAATATTTGGTTTTAAGATAATGTATCATACACAAAACGCATCACAGATATCTTACAGAGAAAAGTCCCGCGCGATGCATCTTTTTAAAAAAATCTCATCAAATGATACAGTGTTTTATGTTTGGTACAATGTTTTATGAAACATTTCTTGAAAATATTAACGCATGTTGAACGCTTGCGAAAATTTAGACGAATTGCGCGTTGTTTGTAATTAAAGAGTCGTGTGTTAATATAAATTTGCAATTTTACGTTACCAGAGTATATCGAAAATTTCTGAGGATTTTACAAAATTGATCAGAGAAAAGTATAAAAGACATGGACATAAAGATATCGCGTGTTAATGTGTAACAAGATAAATTAAGAAGCACTCTCTCGATCATGTTTCTTCTACTACAGGTATCGGTTCATTTATAAAATTGCCTGTATTGAAAACAGCGACATAATCGCTTGTACAGTCCTCCTCTAAGACTTTACACTCTTTCTCACAAAACCGACACGGTATATCGAGTAAGTAAAAAGAAAAAAAAAACGTAGCTCGAGAATATCTGATAATAATTATAATATTTATACACAATAGTCTAATAATCTCTTGTAGCAAGCATGACGTGCAATGAACTAGCATGTGATTCTGTATTTAAAGTGCAAATGTTGCTTTCAACATATTGAAGAGTATTCTAATATTACACTTTAAATTGATATGAAGCTTATACACACATATATTATATATTTGTATCATAGTATGAACAACTATGAGAGAGTTATTGTTGATATAAGAGGAAATGTGTTTGTATATATTTATGTATAATATAATGTGAGAAATCATGTTAGTTTCTATTATAGTTTTAAGAAATCAGTAATCAGAAATTGCATCGGTTGCTCAGATTACTTATAAAATAAGAGTTTTTATTAAACGAGTCAAATTTTTTAGTTTCTATGTTTTGAAAAACTTTCATATAGGTGAATTGAATATGTAACAAGTGTCCACTTTGATCAGAGACATTGCTAGATATTTACTTATCTACATCTATGTCTGATATTAGTTTAAATCTTAATCGATCATACTCATATGCTCTGAGGGACCGATTTGCTGATTCTGCTTAAGACATTTAAGAAGCCAGATACCTTCCATGAGCGACAGCTACCGTATCTTATAATTAACTGTCTATCTCTCTGTAATGCTGTACGCAAGTTTTGATATCTCACTCAAGCACGATAATGTCTTTCCTATACCGCATAATCAGACACCGGTTATCATAATTTGTACCTAGATGTGCTTGAGCTAAGATAATAGAGATACGGATATATGAAATGACTGCACAATTGTATACAATGAGGTCCAGTCCGAGTGATTGTCACTAAACGATATCAATGTAGCATAGTCCTAACATAGCATTTTGGATGTATATCTATTATATATATATATCTATATATATATATAATTCTGTCGATCCAACCGCAAAACTACATACGAGCTTCCAAGATGTGTACATGTGTTCTGTGTACCCAATATGCCAAGCCAACAATTTGCGTTTGAAGAGATCAGCGAAGAGAATGATACGTCAGAGTTGACTTTCAATATATAACGTGATTTTTTCATATAAAATGCGATACTTTGCAAATACGTGTCTCTCTTGACTATATTTGCCTGTATAACTTACATGTGATTTTGAAAGAATGTACTTTTTGCCAAATTATAGGACTCATATTCTCAATATATTTTCGAAACGTAGTCGTCCATAGAAATATCAGGTATTTTCAAACGTATACATATCATATCCACTGATCTCTCGATATTAACCGAGAGAATGGCTATGCGTTTTATCATTTGATCAAATCGAATGTTGCACAAGTACAACTTATATCAGATTTACTTGATAATGGACTTACTACTTTTCGTGCGTCCGGTAATCCAAGGTCAAGATCCTCCGCAGACGGGAATAAATAGTATATCCTCTTTAAACACACGTGCACTATCACAATTTTCGTCGAAATCACACTCGCGAATCTTATCACTCGCGAAAGAGCACACAATTGTACGCGGAAAATCACGAAAAATTCACTTACGAACGTAAAAACTACTTTTCGTACATCCGACAACCCAAGAAAAGGAAATGGGGTGACCCTCCACGAACGAGAGAAGTCAATTCTCTTTGCACACCGTGCGCGATCACAATATTCATCGAGATCACACTCGCGAATCTTATCACTCGCGAAACAGAACGCGATTGTGCGCGAAAAAGCGCGAAAAACTCGCTTACGATCGGAAAAACTTCGCACCGCTTTCTCACCCGCGAAAAACCGCCGCGTCGCGTCTGCACTCTGAACATATTCGCGATTGAATTCTACTACGCTGAACATTGAACGCTTGAAAATTGCGCGGGAATATCCGCGAAATGTTCCAATTAAATAATATCGCGTTCATTTTCGTACTTAAAAAGCGTGAACAGATTTTTACGGATTTGCAAATTATGTTACAATTACTTTTTCAATTCGTATATATCACATGATTTCTCTGTCGATAGACGATACTTGACTTACGTTGTCTAACCACAAAATGTACCACATAATCATCGCATTAATATAATTTGAAAATATAGCTATGAAATATATGGCAAATAATATACTGATGATACAAATTAAATTTACTTAATATTAATGGACTTACAAATTTTGTGATGCATCCGATAATATGAGGCGGAGAAAGCGGGAAACTAAATTCTCTTTAAATTAACATATGTACACGCGATTACGATTTTCGTCGAAATTTATACTCGCGAATCTTATTAATCGCAAAAAGATATAATATTTATTCTAATTAAATTATTCTAATTAAATAATATCATGTTATTTTTTTTTTAATTATAAAAAGATTTTGACAGATTTTGAAATTAAGTTACAATCAATTTTTTTAAATTCATATACACACACATATTTACATATAATACTATATTTCAAAATCAACTACTACATTTCAATACTATATTTCAAAATAACATGATTTTTAAATATAGTTATGAGAAATATGTGAGACTAATATTGATTATAATTCTTTTATTTCAATTAATTTATTTTTTATAGACATTTTTTAATATTTTGATAGTTGTTGAAGTGACAAAGCGATGAATATATAAATATTTATAAATATATCTATATTTATAAATATTATAATATTTATATATTATAAATAGCGGGTACTTCAAAATGTTATTATAATATAAAAAATGTTTTGCGAGCAATTTGAGCTTTACTTAATTATATAACGATTATTCAATTCAAAAAGCTGACGTAAAAATAATTTTAATTATGAATAAGAGATACATGAAAATTAAGTAATAAGGAAAGATATATATTTATTAGAAATATATATGGTTTTAAATCCTAAATCTTTTTTATTTGGAAAAAGTGTTGGTCTTTTGCATTGAATGATCAATACGTTAATCTAATTATCTGTTTTATTTGGGAAAATATTTAGGCGTGTAAAAATTCACAAACATGTGGTTGATGTGTTTTAATTGTATTTCAATATCTTCCTTTGCATATACATATATTATACAGTCTGAGTAATTTGTATAAATGTTTACAACATATAACTTTTATGATATTCGAATTCGATTAAATAGAATATGTATTTGCGATAAGTACTAAAAGAACCATATTGTAAACTAATATCCTAAAGTAAGTACAAGAGTATATCTGACAAAAAACGGAGACATATTTATTATTAAAAACGTGTATAAACGCTCGCATCTACGATTTACACGAAAAAGGTTGGCTTGGCTACTTTCAGACTCAGTATTAGATTTTGAGAATAATAAGGAAAAAAAGAAAGAAAAGAAGAAAAGCTTTGTACGGCTTCTAGATGGTTTTATACCGGTTTATGTTTTTTATGCAGACGAATCGACACTCGATTTTATGTGTTTCTGAAGAAACTGCTCGCCTCTGGCCCCCTCTTCCATTTCCATTATTCTGTGGTGATTTAAATGATTTAAATTTTATATATACGCATTGTATAAACGATGACACAAATATCTGGCAATATAGTATTTTATATGTATTATAGATCTTTAAGATTTTATAAATGTGTTTTTCTGCGCGCGCAAGAAAAAAGAATGAGAGAGAGAGAGAGAGAGCGAAAGAGAAAGAAGGACGTGATAAGAAAGTAATTAATTCATCTTTATGCTTGCATAAATATGTATGTCGTGTGCTTTTGTGAGCTGCGGCTGCTTCAACAAATAATCTCTCGTTTGAGCAACTTTTTCATGAAAACTTTTAATTGAATCCAACTGCATTGGATGGGTTTCCTTTACCCATCGATATCAGATAATGGGACCGGAATAACAATTTTATAAGCGTATACTTGAGAAAGGTAGCGAACGGATTTTATGAGCCAACGAGTTTTATCAGTGTCATCGTTATTTTTTTTTTCTTGATTCTGTTAATTCTGTTAAACTATTGATGAGAATATGATTTTTATTTATTGTAAATAAAAGAAAGAATATTGCTGAAAGAGCATTTTATATATTATGCATTCTGAATTGATATATAAACATACATAGACTTTATCGAGTAAATGGTATGACTATCTATTGGTCCAGAGATTGTAACGCAAATTGTACGGAGAAAAAGTTCATAATATAAATGATTTTGATTGTATAGTGACTTTGCAAGAACGAAAGTACAATTCTAAGAACAGAGGCAATGTGAGACAGGAATAAAAAGTTAATTTCCGATAAAGATTCTGTAGTATTCATTAAAAATTAAGTAATCCCTTATATACAATAAATATTTTACATTACTATTTATAAATTCATGTTAACGTCATATTGTATATTCATTATTTGTTGCTTATTTGCTTATCGTGCATCAAACACAACGACTAAAAATAAAGTTAAGGAAAATTTCTTGATATTTAGGTTTGAGACTATTAATAATCAAATTAACTTTAAAATATTAAAAAGGATACGTCTTTTAGTGCGCTTCTTGTACATAATTCGATATCCACATTCCCTGCATCGAATTGGATCTTTGGAACGTATCTCATTATCATGATGACATTCTAAAACAAATTTTAAATTTGATTACAGATACAATATAAAATAATTTCATATAAAAATAATTTACCTTTTTACTTTTTTTATGTAATGCAAACTCTATATAATTATTAAATATATAATTGTTCTAAACATTTCTTGAAAAAAATGCATAAATACAATATTATCAATTTTTGACAAGAAACATTTGATATAATATTTTATATAAAATCTTTAATAAAACTAATTATAAAAATATGTGTAAATATATGTTATATATATATAATTCAAAAAATTATCAAATTTAATAAAGTTTTGTTTGCAAGAAAGAGAGGTTAGAAAGTAACATAAACACACATGTGCACGTCTTTACCTCCGCAAATATAAACCATAGTTGGCTTTTGTGTAGATTCAGATTTGCTGGATTCCATTTTAATACAATTGCAATATTTTTCTTTGTAATTCAACTAATAACTGATAATAATAAACGCTCAATCACAACAACATCAAATCAAACGAAACTAGATGACAAGAATGTAAAGTCCTGTGTCTACAGCTTGAACAATTCATCAAAGAATCCTTCGCTCTGATTGGTCAACTAAACGCTCTTCCACTTGACAGTACATTTTCGAACACAGTAGTCCGAGTTCTAGCATCGTGGACAGGCCTTAAATTTAATTGCAGCATCCAACAGATAGATGGCGCCAGTATTAACATTACTGTAGAGAACCTCAATATACTTATCAAAATTGTAAAATACATCTAAACAGAATACAGAGAAAGAATGAATACAATGAATCGTTTATAAAAAAAAAAAAAATAACGTTTACATAATAATTAATTAATAATGACAAAGAAATATATTTAGTGACACATATCCAACGTTCGTCGGTAAAGAAGGTACGTGAAATAGATGGTCGGTAAAGAAACGTCACAACAATGCAAGCAAGGGCGATTCGGAGTTCGGAGTAGTTTACTGCCGCGCGAAGGGAGGAGAAGGAGGTAGGGGTGGGGGCGGTAGAAGGAAAAGGCGAGGGATCGCGGCGGAACGCGTCAGTCGGGTGGCAACTGTCCGGGGATGCGCGTCGCTCGTCCGCTCCGGTGAACGCGCGCGAGTGCGGGTGGTTAGTTATGTCGGTGCGTTGGTACTGGTGATATATTTATATATATATATATTTATCCATATATATATATCTATATATATATCTATATATATATATATATATATATATATATATATATATATATGTATACAGTGGTGGTAGCGGTGCACTCTCGGAAAGGTGGTAAGAATCTCGAGCACCTCTCGCTGAACGTCGAGTCAAGGACGAAGGCGGTGATCCGCGAACATGTGATTCTGACAGGAGGAAGACGGAGGAAGTGAAAGGACAAGATACGCAGCCCCATTCGCGAGATCATTTCGTTTCCGTGTCCGCGCGCATCTGTCGTCGTCGCCGTTGAATATACACGAGTTAGTGGTAGTGGTTGGTGGTGGTGGTGGTGGTGCGTTTGCTCGCTCGCTCGCGTCGCTCCGGACACGCCGGGATACGGCCGTGGTGGAGTCGTCGCCCCCTGCCTCCCGCCCTCTCTCCCTCGCTCGTCGAGGGGTTGTTATACCGCCGTGTGCGCGGAGAAGGATATAATGTTCTGAAATTCGTCGAAACGGCGAGAGCGCATCATCATGGTCGCTAAGCACTTCGCTTCGCAGGGTGAGTTGCTTTTTTTCTATGTGTTATTTGCAGCTTTCCCTTTTCTCCTCTCCATCGAATTTTCGACGGGGTAAGCGCATATATATATATATATATATATCGCCCCCGCCCCGAAATTACCGTCGATGTAATTTCCCCTTGTAGGCCTTCTGAAAACGCGTTGTTGGAGGAACCGAGTAAGGGGTAGGTGAACTGGCTATTGGGTGGTGCACGGCTCGATCATAATAATAGATTCACGGAGTTGCGTGTACCTTCTACACTTCTCCCACCTACCCTTCGCTCGTGTGTCTTTCTTCCCCCTTGTTGGAAAATAATCTGCGTAATCTGCCTGAGAAATCGTATAAGAAATTACATTGGCGATGATTTACTCCGAAATGGAAAATCGTTCCAACGAATCGACGCTAACCCCCTGTTTCTTTTTCTTATCAAAAAAATTGCTCCTTGTTACATATCTCTTTTAGCGTGTAAAAAAATTTGCGACAATATTTAGAATATAATTACTGCGATGTAAAAGTGTCAACTTGTAACAATAATGAAAGAAAGAAAAATATATGATTTATTTTGGAAAAACATATCGGTGACTTTGAGACAGCGAAAGTCTGAAGGAATTAATAATGATGAAGAATCGATTCTTTCGTTCTCCGTCTGTCGCATCGACACTTCTCAGTTCCGTTCCTCCCTCTCGTTCGTTTTCGGCATACTGATCGAATGGGCGTGCGTCTCTCACCGCGAACGTCCGGTATAGTCTCGCCACAAGTGTTTTTCCGAGTGTTCATCTCGAAAACGAAATACGCGCCTCGAGAATTTATGGCCGAGCTATATATGCGGAAATTGCGAAATAAAAAGCGCGCTATTCGTTATTTCGCTTTCGTCGCCAAATCGAAAAATTTCGCACGCGACGTGGAATGTGTGTCTCCTCTCCTCTTCAACTTCCTCTCCGTAATTACGTTACTGCGAGACCGCAGAGGTGTAAAACGGATATTTTATTTGCCTTTATAAAGCGTGCGAAATTAATTCGTCTCTCGAATCTCTGGAAATAAATCGAATAATATATGTAAATAATATGTATTTTATCATGGGTCCGCAGAGAGGACAGTTGTCCTCCTTTGGAATCAATAAAAAAATTAAGCTTTGCTCTTCTTTTAAAGAACCACTGGAATTTATTTGCATATTTAATTATAAAAAATTAATTGTAAAAATTTAAAAAAAAATGTAATTACGCTCCCTCCTGGAAAAAATCCTGCGGATGTCCATGTGCATATATTATTTAATAAATAAAATATTTAAATAGCTACAATATCTATTTATGTAGGAAAGATCGAGTTGCAATTAAAGCGAGTTACACTTTCTCTCGATTTTTTTTTAATTGAACATCTGTTATTGCGCGCGATCTCGGGGGATGATTCGCGATATATCGAAAGCCAGGTCGAGGATGATGGCATGGCAAATGGCACGATGGAGCGGCGACGTATGAGCATTCGTCTGGCAGCTGATTGACTGCGCGATGTCAAGTTCGCGGGAACGACTTTCGACGCCCAATCGATTCGCGCACTTCGCGTAATCCCGTTCTCGCGTGTCGCAGCTTAGGTCTCCGCACGCGGCCATTACACGCAGAAGTCAAGGGAACGTAACGCGACGGTGGGAAAAAATACACTCGTGCCAGGGATTCGCGAGATCAACGACCAGCTCAACATTCCGTCAGCGCGAAACTTATGTGCTATATCATTATATTTTAAAAAATGCCCCATTTAATTGCAATCATAGTATTGTGCTTAGATGATTTTAAAATTAGCTAGATAAGGATGAGATGGAAATATGTAAATTCATCTTAGAGAAGATGAAGATCCTTTTGCTTTAAATATATGTAAATAAACTATAAAATTTTTTAGATAATAATTTTTAAGGCTGAGGTAAATTATCTAAACATTATTCTAAATAATTTAATAAAGGTAACATTTTTCATGCAGATATAGATAATATACATTTTTATTATTTATATAACGATGAGATGACATCAAAATTTCATCTAAACGATCATCTATATAATTTTATTTTAATAACGGAACAAATATTGATTGTATTTATTAATATACCGAGAGATGATATCGCGGAAAGGCTTTACTCTATTTTACATCTTACATATGTTTGAATTAAATTAAATTACATATTAAATATCAATTTCTCTTTGAAGATGAAAAAATCCTATGAAAAGCTGCATATTGGTGCAAAACTGCGAAAGGATTCTTGCCATTAAGAAACGTTAGCTCAAGTATATGTACAATATATATGCATATAGTCGGCATTCACGCCCTTATCGGAACATATCACCGTTTCTGATAAAGTTGCTCGCAATATATATATCTTAAACTATATATATATAAATACATTCTCCGTATAGATCTTTCGTCGCGTGAATACAAGGCAGCTAGTCACGCTTCGCAAAAGGCATCGACACGCGAGACATGACAGTTCGACATAACGCTGCATTTTACCCTCTCATTGTTAGCTCGCGTCGAGTAGAAGCGAAATATAAATTTAGCAATTATTTATTGCCTAATTATTTTATTAGTTATATTTTATATTATAATTGTGCGTATTATTATAACAAAAATACAAAAATTAAATAAACACCGTACTATCGATTATTATACACATGCGCGATCTTTCAATAATTTTTTTTTATTATAAAAATGAAGACTTTAATATATATATATATATATATATATATATATATAAATTTGAGAAATGAGCTGTTTTTATTAATTAACGTATAAGCACATAATTGACTATCTATAATTAACTTATCTCGATTTTTAACGAAGCACGAATTTTTTTCTAAATAATGACGAAATATCTAACGGAAATCTCGCTGATTCGCGATCGTCGATATTATCTCTCAATATAGTCACAGTTTTCTAGGAAATTGGATTCGACGAAAGAAACTTTCCTCGGGAGAGACGTATCCGTGTTTCGTCAAGATCTCGTTTCCCAGGGCCAATGAGTCATCGTAGTGACATTCTATAGTGAAAGAGCAGGTTTCCCCGGTATTTCGGTATGCTTGTCATGTCAGTGAATCATCGCGTCATCGCGTGTGTTGCTACACGTGTAATATCGAAAAAATATAGCCACGGAACTAGGTTTATCGCTATAGGTTTATATCATTAGGGTCTCGATTAGGGTATAATCACGCTTTCACAAACTATAGATTATCTGACGATTCCTAGAAATTCTAATAGGAACCTGAAGAACTCGATTATTACTGACCCAATAGCGGAATTATTCAAATTTATTCCGCGAACTATACGCGATATTTTGTAAATGAAAGAGCCTTTTAAAGAGCTCTGTCATCGAATCCTGTTCTTCAATTTCAAACAAATTTTATTCTGATTCACACTGAGAATATATTCGACTAAAATAAAGAATTAAATTGGATCGAATTGATTAAATTATATTTAAATATCATAATTCGTAACTCAAACTATCTTGTTTATCTGACGATAAATATAGCATTTCACCGCAGAAATAGAATTATAAGTTTGATCGACAACCAAATTAAATTTTCGCTGAGAGAAGAAAATCAATTTGTCGAGAAATTCTTGATCGAGAAATTGAAGGTTGAATAACTTTATAATTCATCATTTTAAGCAAATATACTCTTTGAGGCACAAATTGAAATAAAATTTGCTTGAAATTGATTGAAAAATAAGATTTGATAGAACTTTTTCAAAATTAAATTTATGCTTTCTGACATTATGTACTCTGAGTGAATAATGTTTTGTCGTTTTATCAAGAATACGACAAAACATAAGTTTATCTATATATATCATTTTATTTATAGACAGCAGTTTGCTGTTATCTAAATAAAATGATATAGATAATCATCTAGACAAAGTCTTGGCGTTATTTTATTTATATATATAGACAATAAAAATATATATTATAATATCTATATCTGCATTTTAGATGAAAAAATATTATCTTTACTAAATTATTCAACGATAATGTTCAGATAATTTAGTTTAAATAAAAACTTTATAAGTTATAAATAAAAGTAATATATTTTTATATTTCTTTATAAATAAAAGAATCTTATAAATTTTCTTCTAAATAAAAGAATATATTTTTATATCTCTTTTATAATTTACATTTTTTTATAACTGTATTTACATAAGTAATCTTAAAAATAATATTATCTGGAAGTTATTTAAATAAATCGCCACATAATTTTATCTTTTATCTGTATTAATTTAAAACGAAATCATCGCTTATCTAAGATGAATATACATTTTTTTATCTCATCTTTATCTAATTAATTTTAAATTTAAATATTTCTTTTGATCCATACTGTTACTGTTTTTGTTTTTGTATCAGCAGATGCTGAAGATGGTCTAATAAGACAGAAACATTCAAATAAATCTACAAAATTAACTCTTAAATAATTTGCGCATCGATTGGCTCCTAATTAGCATGTCCATTTACATTCTTTGTAATTTTAAAATCATATCTAAGCACAGTGTTTGCTGTTATCTAAATAAAATTATACTTTTATATGATTATCTAGGTGAAACTTTTGTGTCATCTTATCTTTATATATAGATAATAAAAATATGTATTATCTGTATCTGCATCTTATTGTTAGATGAAAAAAATATTATCTTTACTAAATTATCTAGAATAATTTTTATATAATTTTGGTTTAAAATCACAGCACATAAAAATACTTAAATAGTCGAACTTATTTTTATATATTATCTCTTTTATAATTTACATTTTTTATAACTGCGTTTACATAAGCAGTCTTAAAAATTAGTATCTAGAAAATTATATCTTGATAAATTGCCATATAATTTTATCTTTTATCTAGCTATATATTTAAAACAAATTCGTCTTATCTAAGATGAATTTACATATTTTGAGCTCATCTTTATCTGGCTAATTTTTACATCATCTGAGTACAACACTGTCTAAGCACAATACTGCGCGCAAGCATAACTACTTAACTACTATCTTTTTCTTTCCGGCACGCAAATCCGAGAGGGGCGCGTTTGCTCCTGTGGCCCGGTTAAGTTCCCGTGAGAATTATTCGTTCCTTTCTATATACAACTACTACCACACGTATACGATGACGGTAATTACGCTTTTGCGCCATGTGGTGTTACCCACATGCCAGACGTGCATTTTAATTCCCTTTCTCGGTTAGCGATCGTTCGTGATTGCGCTTTGTTCTACGACGACGTTTCCTCTTGCAACAATTTCCAATCTTTCTCTCTCTCTCTCTCTCATACGCGCGATTTATGTTTCTTCGTGTTGCGAGAATCAAGAGTAATTTGACGGTGCAATTTCGAGACACGAGAATAAACAACGAGAATAAACAGATTTATTTAACAATAAAGTCTGATTTGTGAAAATTATTTGTATCTCGTGTCAACTTTAATTTAGCAGAATGATATATACCCGAAATGCATCTTAATTGCAATCGATTCTCATTTAACCAGATTTAGCTGAAAACGTGTTTGACATTACGCGATATATCGAGGATGACTTTTAATAAAATTTTTTAATCAAATAATTAATTAGTTTATTTTTTTCTAAATAAAAATTCAATTCACAGTACACTCAAAAAAATATTTCGCTGATATAGTTAGACGTTTAGATGTTTTTTGTATCTTTTAAAACTGTTGTTTGTGTCACGTATAGAATTTATAGCAGGAATATATATTCTGTCTCTGTTACTTAGACAAATTAAGTAAATTACATATGCAATATTACAATACTTGTCAATTACTTAGCTGTTTTAGTTAATTTTTTATACCTAGAAAATTTTTGCTGTACTTGCAATATCATTTTTTTGAGTGTACGTTTATATTTCATTCACGGTTATTATACAATTTAAATAGAGAATTAGAGTATTATATAATGCACAAGCGCGATGGAAAGAATAAAGTTAATTTTTATGCAAAGACATTTATGTAAGTAGATATCTTTGAATGGTATTCACAGGAAACGGATAGAGGTCCATTGACAAAAAAAGTATGACCCTCGTTTTATCGCTAGGTAGAGATAGGGATGTAAAAACGCCATAAAGAAAGAGAACAAGTATTGACATTATGATAAAAACTATACATTCTATAAAAGGAACTTTAATAAAAATGTAAAGATTTTTTAAATTGACTCTTCAGGAATTCTAAATTTGCAATTAGACTAAAATATTTTTTTAATAAATATATTTGAATACATTTAAATCTCTAAATACATTTTATGCCCGTATCTGCATTTTATACGTTCAATTTTATTAATTTAATTTAATTTAATTTAATTAATTAAATCTTTTTTTTTTTTTTTCTCAAGCATTTTAAATCTCATTGATAGATTTCGGAATCATTTCTATTCAACTCGATACCGTTATCGCCAAACTATGCCACGTTAATCGTGCATGATTTTAAGGATAGATTAAAATAACGGAGCAATGCTCGATTTTTTATTTTGTGGTTTTTCCAAATAAAACACCAGGCGGATAACGCGGAACTGCACTCCATAAAAGTGCAGCTGCAATAACTGATTTGCATTTCGGAATCGATAATCGCGAAATTTAGCCCAATCGTTAGTCGCGGGTCCATAACGAGGATTCCCGTTAATCGCGACCTTGAAATTCACACTGCGGCAGCTGGACAGTGCAGGTGCGGTCGCAGGTGCAGCTGCATATCGGGATGCACACCTTGCGGATCGAGAAACTCGCCGGCACGTGGACTGTCGAGAGAGATGAAGCGACAACCGCGTAATTGATTTTTTTTCGAGGCGTTTCGCGTCACACTATCGTTGTCGCAAATTGACTTCAAAACACGAAAGAGCAAAATCTGACGGGATAATAATCTTTATTTCTGCAAATTATATAGTCTTATAATTGATGACGTTTGTAATTTTACGGATATTTAATGAAAGCAAAGTTTGCATGTAATTCTAAACTATAATCATAAATTGCTCGCCAACCACTTAAAGTTGGAGGGTATAATTTATTTTTAAAAATCTAGAATTAATGTACTAGTAAGTAAAGAGGCCAGAATAAAAAGTAGTAAAACGATTGATCAAGAATACAATTATTGTCGCGAATTAATCTTGTAAAATTTATGACATTTATAATTTTACAGATATTAAATAAAGATAACAGTTGTTTATATAAATTAATATAAATGTTTATTAATATAATTGTTGTTAATATAAATTATGTGCTCACATTTAACGTTGAGGCGACGGGACGTTAAGTTATTTTAAAAAATTGAGAATTAATGCACTAATAAATTTGAGAATGACAAGCGAGTCTCGGACAAATTTTGTAGGTAAATTGCACAACTGTGCGAGATGAAAATTTTTCGAGAGGACGTTAAAGAGCCAACAAAATTATCGAACTGTCGCTCTCAAAGTGACATAATTGTCACACTTACACTGCCAGACAACAGGTGGTCAAACACGGCTCCCTTTGATGCATGTGTATGTGTGTGTGAGAGATAGAGAGAGAGAGAATTTGTCCTAGAAATGTAATCCAGATAAAGTCTAGTAATATTAGCCAGAAATGTCGAGCAATCAGGAAAGATGCGATACCTTTCATTAATTACTAACAATTTCAATTTCATGGTTTTGTTAATTAAATATTTTAGTCGTTGTATAATATATAATATTTCATTGTCAATTTCAATCGAAATTTAATATTAATAGCTGAGTTATATAGTTTCTTTAAAATATTAATAATTGATATATGTTTTCTTTTAAATTATTTATATCAATAATTAATAATATGAAGAAATCATTCTCTGAATTGAGAGAATAATTATAAATTAATGAATCTGAAAATATTATTGCAATAAAAAGTACGATCCTAAATATATAGTACGATTATTATATAAATATGTATAAGCAGACGAGAGCTATTTAATATCTTATTTTATCAGTCCTTTATGATACTTGTAATTTCACAATTTTTTCTTTTATAATCTATCTTTAACATCTTTTTTTTAACTTTTCAGGCTCAAGCCCTGAATGCGGCGTGCCGGATATGACAGTTATCAGCGACATCGATGAGACTGGTATCAATCGGAATCTTCAAGTTCGATATAGCAGAGACCAGATATACGTATCCTTTCTCTTTTACACATCTTTTATTAACGACAAAGTAATTTTTTAATTTAGTTAGCAATTATTTTTGCCTTTTTGACATATATATACATGTCATATTATATATATAATATCTCGAAATTTAGAAAACTTTTTTAATAAAAAATTCTAATAATTTTGTCCCACGATCGATGGTCTCTAAAGTTGAGAGATTGAGCGCATCTCGCCTTGAATGCGCAATGAGGGGAGTATAAATTTTAAATATGGCTCTCGCGTAAAAAAAAAAAACACGTTCGACAGTAGCATAATATTTGCGCGATTCCGTTCGTTTATCTCTTCCGTTCAAATGACGTTCGAATAGAAACTGAGGGATGAGCAAGTGGGTTGGACAAGAGACCAACCGATCTGGTTTTGAAAAGAAGATCGGTGAAAGGGGATGGCGGTAAAAGGGGGAGGAATGAATCAGTCGAGGAAGACAGTGGACGCGTATGAATATTGCAGGGGTGGGTCCGGGTTTCCTGGGTTGCCGCGTTGCTATGACGACCCTAGTCAGCTGGTGAACCACCCCGCGGGCTAGACCCATTCATCTTTCGTCGGTTTGGATTTGCGACCCACTGTCAACCCCCCTTTGTACCATTCCCTCCCCCTCCCCCTCCACCCCGAAAAAAGGGTACGCGAGTAATTTCGCAAATATGCAGATAAATCGCGAGGTCTCTTTTTCGCGCAACGATGATGAAATTAATTAACGATCGATATTTAAAATAAAGTAATTAAATGAATTTCGGAATAAAGTTTGTTATGCATGTTTTGAGGATTTAAATAAGAGGAATAATATACGGAATAAATAAATAAATAAATATAGTTTTTTGTCAATTTATTATGTTGATATTCCACTTTAATAATATCAGTTAAATAATTGTTTTTTTCATTAGACGTTGAATTTGTATAAAATAATTAAATCTTCACTTTTGCAATTGGTTCTACCGAGTGGAAGATCCTTCACTCTCTTCACTTCATAAAATAATAATTTTTTTATTTGAGAATTTCTTAAAATATTTCTCTAAGAAATATATTCATAAGATCATTGTTAATTTTAATTAATTCACATCAATAATTATTGCCAATAAAAGTATACTATTACGTATAATTCAAAAGTTTTAATTAACATGCCATAATATTGATATAAATTATGAAAATTAGCAAATAAAAAATAAATTGACCAGAAACTGTATATACACATATACATATATATGTTAAAGATAACAATTTAGATCGTCGACAATTCATTCGTTAGTGGACACTTGGTAGAATACGCAACGACATCCGTTTGGACAATAGTAGTGTGTGGGTTGATGCACTTAGACTAATCTTTTATTGCATGTCAGATCGAAACGACAGCTAAGTTGACGTGTAGATAAATGTCTACGACGTGCTAGAAATGCAATACATAATTTTTACTAACGAAATAATAGTGACGTTGCAATATTCCGTTGTATATTATCAGGTTCCATTAAAGTTGTGGTCTCGTATTAATCCACAGTTACAGTTGATGGCATTCCTTATTTACACAAGTGTGAAAGTGAGTCGAGATATATTGCAATAAAATATCCATGAATGCACGTTGTATTAATTATTTGATTATTTTTTTCTTCTGGAAACGGGTTTTTTATGAATTCAAAATCAATTATATCAACGAATTAGAGGAAATATTTCGCGAATATATATTATATATTTTTTATTATTATTATATTAATTATATATTTATTAATAAATATATAATATAAATATATGTATATTAATTATATATATTTTTAATTATATATTTATGTGAGAAAAATATTCAAAACAGCACTTGACGAACTAATTTAAAGTTTTGCTATAATTTTTCCGTAAGATTCTTCTTAATTGGAAAGTGTTTCATCCGATGAGACGACTCTGTGCAAAAAATGAGATTTCTTTCTCAGAAGTTGAGGCTCTTGCCTGGTCAGCATACACGTTTTTTGTCGCCTGATGTAATCGAAAAATTAAACGGCTCGTAAAGCGTCTCTTGGCTCTTTCGAATCTCCGTCGTCGACCATTTCTTGTCGTCGTCGTGGACGGCGCGAATGAGATTTGCAGCTGGCAAAGACAGCTCTTGCTGTCAAGAACCGTCTCTGGTACATTCAATATATGTATAGAAGCTTGCAAGTAAAAATCACAAGCGACGGTTTGCCGTATATTAAATATATTTAATTTATTTTAAAACATAAAAATCACGAAAAGAATCACATTTGAAAAGAGTCTCAGGCAATTGAGACCTCGTGAAATCCAACATCTATACTATATATATATTATTATATTAATATTGTCATTTAAGGAAATGGGACAAACAATAAACTTTAAATCTATGCTCGTGCATCCCAAAAAGCGTCGTAATAATTTCGTTAAATCCAGCATCTCGCGAAAGTAGGTCGCTCGAATAAGGGGTTAAGAAACCGACGAGCGAAATCATCCAGTCATCCGTCGCGCGTGTTAAATAAGCGCTTTTCTTATCGTCTGGCTTGCACCAGCCAGCCTCCGACAACCCTTTTCAGAGCGAGTGGCCTAATTTATTCGCATCGATGGATTTTCTCGCACGTGACCCTCCCAGACGTTCACCCTTTCGCTCTTCATCGCGGTGGCTCCTTTTTTTTCCATTCTCTCGCTCTCCCTCGCTCTTGGTAACAGAGAGATCGCATCCCACGACGAGTGCAATTCAAGCTCGCTAAGAGCGCTCCGCCAGCGAAAGAGGTTAATGAGAGAGAACCTACCCCTATACATATATATATATATATATATGCATGGATATCCGTGTCTGCACGAACACGGGGACACCCGGTATACATATATTTGTACGTGGAAAAACACGCGTAAAGGAACCGAACGACATTCGGGCCATCGACGTAGCTCCACTTGAGCCACTTTTCGATCTTGCATGCTCGACTAAATTAAAATGGAATTCTATTTAATCGTCTTCCGTTCGACCGCTGTTATTGTCGTTTAATCGCAGTGCGAGAGATTACCTCCGAAATTGCAACTGTCAAAAGGAGAGAAATTGTCGAACAATCATTTTGTCGAGTAATTAAAAAATTTGTAAGCTTATTAAGGCTCACTTTCTTTGATGTTAATTATCATATCAATTAGGTATCAATTAGGTAAATAACGTTATTTATTAATACTTTCAATTGCAAAGAATCTGACATTTTGAAATGATTAATTGGTAATAAATTAGAGGGTCACATACTTCGACAATAGATCAGTATTTTTAAATAAAGAATTTTATTATAATTTCCAATTCTATTTACTCTCAAAATATATTATACAGAAAACTCTGATTCACGCGATGGAACTATTTATTATGAATTTTATTTTACGTTGCATTCATAAATAAAAAATAATTATCGTTGCTGCACTTAAAAGGTCAGAAAGTGAGCTATTTGCCTCGTATTTTTATTTCTTTATACTTCCTCTCGAACTATGCTAGTAAAAATAATACGTATATAAATTTAAATATAAAAGAGTATATAATCGCTTTTTTATAATATATTTTAATTCGTATATTTATATTCGCATTATATTTGTGTCATCATAAACTGAGAATATATCTCGTCTCAAGCTAATATTGGTGCTGAGTCTAGCACATAAAAATAGTAAAATATAATCAATGAAGGTAGCTGAGTCTTTGTAATATTTTTTTTACATATACGTAGGAAGCGTCCAAGAAGCCGGAAGTAAAAGATGCCTGTTTACTTGGCGATCATCCAATCGGGTGTTGCTTTCCTCTTTCTCTCTTTCTCTTTCTCCTCGTTCTACTTATTGGTTGCCAAGCCTCGATCCGGAATCTCGTTAAAGCACGATCGAAGCTAATTACAACGATCCGACGTTAGTTTCGAGGTGTGCCAGCAATCTCGCGAAGGAAATTGAAAGTTCCGACCCGAAATCTTTCCTGCGCAGAAATCGTCGGAAAGCGAGACTCGTCTCTTCCGCTCTTTACCCGCTCTCTCTCTCTCTCTCTCTCTCGTCTACAGATGGACAAACTGTTTGTAATTAAGCTTGAGGTTTCAATATGCCGGGAACGTAAATCAAGAACCGATAGGCTACACGAGGCGTGTCCACGGAGTTAATTAAATTGTGTGGCCCTCTCTCTTGTCGCTATTAACAGGGTTTCTCTAGACTCCAGCTGAGAACCCCACAATCACTTATGGGTTACTGGGTTCTATGCGCGACGAGCATTCATGTCGTCTGTATTTACACATTATTTCGAGATACAGAATTCAATGTAAGCGAAATGTGATATCTCGTAAAAAATTTTTAATACGAAAAGGAAAAATAGAAATATATTTTTCTATGCATAACAATATAATATTATATATTTATACATAAATATTGTATATTATATTTTATATATTTTTATATATATTTTTAAATGTTAATTTAGGCGAAAGAGGGTTAATCCACTATTGACCGAAATGAATTTTGGACCTCTGGGCATAAATCGTCACCCTTCGCTCGTCTCAAATATTACAGAAGGGTGTACCGTTAGAGGTGTACTCTCCCCTTTTTCCTTCTGCTACGGTGTAGCATCTAGCTATGAGTCATCCCCCTATGGTTAACCCCCCGGAGTGTGACGTCATTATAGAGGCCTCTCCCTTGTGTGTCGGCGGAATCATGTCATCTTCAAGTTATTATGCAAGGAATAACGCGACGCTGCGTTCTCCTTCTCTCTCACTCTTTGCCTTTTTATCTTTCAATCTCCCTCTCTCGGTTTTTTTCCTAAAGATCTCTATGATAATGTTTTTACGATCGTGCGAGAACGCGCGATGCAATTCTGAGCGCTTATTATCTTTTATTATTATTCTTCTAATTATAAGAATAATATTATCGTAATTTTTATCACAACACAGGATGATTTTAAAATCAATCGTTTGAATTTTACAGACTATTTGATCTTTTCGAGCTATTCTATGCTTTCTTTACGAAAACGATTAATAATAATTTAATCAGTAGTGAAATCAAAAGTGAAGGTATAAACTTAGTATTTGATAAGACCTTAATCAAATAATATTTTCCGTGAATTTAAAACAAATTTATTAATGGAATTCTAACTCAATCTTCATAATCGAGTCATAAAATTAAAAGAAAAATGAAGAAATTGGACATGAAATAAAATTTCTTAATATATTCATTAATAGAAAGAGAAGAAGAAAGGAGAAAAGAAGATAATAATTTTCAAACTAATTTATTTAACGTAACTATAACAGCTCTGCACACTTTCGGGAGTTTTTGTTTTCATAGGGCAAGCAACAAAAATAAATTGACACAACTTTCTGTTTACGCTTTATAAGACAAAGTCATAGGGGCGATGCGAGTAGTTAGGGTGTATTAAAAAGGTCACGTGTTTATATCTCGATTCGTGTTCTCTGGAACAGTTTTTGTCGGTTACTTTGTACGCAGTCAATCGAGAACCTGCATTGAGAGTGCATATATAGTATTATGACATAAAGGGCAGCATGTCATGTCTATAAACGCGGAAAAATGTCAACTCCAGTTTTCAATCGATGGCCTTTTCTCTTAATACTTAATGGAGGGGCAAAATAGATATTTTTAGCGAAATGTCATTTGAGTAAATTATATTCCTTAACACAGATATTACTATATACAGACGTACACAGGATCCATTCTGGTGGCTGTAAATCCTTACAAGGAGGTGGACTTCTACACAAATGTGAGTAATTAATTCGTTTACGTATAATAAATAAATCGAGCGCTCAGATAAACATAGCTGTAAATCACGTAAAACGTGAATTTTTATAGGAAATGAGATATACAAGAGATTTGACAATTCTGTTGCACGTTTTTGTTCACTGAAAAAATTATTAAATAAATAAATATTTACTTCAATACTATCTAATAAAACATTTATTTAAAACAAATAAATATTTCTGTTTTGAAAAGGATTTTTTTATATCAAATAAATATTTTTCACATCAAATCAATATTATTAGTTACAAATAAATTGTTTATTAGGCAGTATTGAAATAAATATTTATTGGAATGTAATCATTTTTTTTTAGTACTCTCTTCGTCTAAATCGTCCTGTACTAATTATACGTAAAAACATTATAAAATAAATAGAATATTATTAAGATGAAAAAAAGAAATATATATACGAGAAAGAAGAAATATACGAGAATTTAAATAAAATATTTTATTTTAAAAATATTATGTTATTACGAGATATTGTTCCATGACGACATAGATGATACTGACATACATACATTGCTTGCATTTTAACTTTATTTGTGACGTGATCCCTGATCGATTGGGAATACAGAGGGAAAGAAAACGTGTAGAAAATACAATGATATACCTTATGTTGTCGACGTGATAGATAAGCTGAGCTCGATAGATTGTTCGTGTGTACGCAGTGCGCTTCCTGCGACTGACAAAGACCGGAAGTACTGATGAGGAATAGTAAATATCAGGTACACAATACGCGACACCGTCGTCGTTGATGAAAATTGAAAAAGAGCCGTAGGCTCTACCTTGTGTCAATCTTGCAGAGAAGATAAGCGGCTGTCCTTGCTGAAAGATTAAAATTGCTGTCTCGAATCTTTCGAGTTCGACGCACTTTTCGCGCACGGCAACCGCAGCTTTCTGCAACGATGCGACTTGTTCTTAACAAACTCTCCAAATATTTCTTATTACGTGACATTAAGGTGTAGCGTTAACTTTGTTGCAAAGTTTTTACAAAAGTTTGCACTGATTTTTCGCAAAAATTTCCAATTAAAAATCAAATTGATGTTACGTGATTCGCTCGAATTGCAAATTAATCGAATTGGCGCAAAATTAAATCGATATAGAAAGTTACACTTATTTTAAGTGTCTTGCAAAATTAAATATTGATACTTTTTATATTATAATTTATTAAAAAATTTCGAGAAACTATAAAAGAAAGGGAAGACAAGAACTATCGATCGAAAATTTCAATGATAAAAAAGATGTAAATATTAAAAATGTTTTCTCTTTTTGTTATATTTTGAAATGTCTCAATATTTAATCGTCAAGATTGAGTAGATATAACGAGTTGAAAAATTCCAAACAGTTGTATTCAAATATATATATTTACATTCGTGACACTTACATTTCGGAGCATATCCTGACAAAGCGCTTCTTCGTCGCGTGTGCACGTGCAATTTGCGTATGCAATTGCGTGCAAAATTATCGTGCTCGTGGCTCACAAACGAGTTTTTCCAACTTTACGAATCTGTATAATAAAAGCATACCGCGGGACACAGGATGCTTTTATCGTATTGGTCTGAAAACAGGAAACGGAAGCTGCAAGCTCATGCTTACGCCGAGATAATTCGCGAAACGACTCGGTCTTGAACGGCGGTTTTTTTTTCTAGGTCACATCGACTTGTCGATAAAATGTTAACAATTATACATATAGTGAAGTCTAAACGTTCATTTACACGGAATTGATTCATTCGCGCGGAATATCGCTGTCGCGACTTTTATCGCTTCGAGCTGTTAGCTCTCGGATCAGAGATCGCAGCCAAAGCCCGAAGGGAGCGAGCACGGAGTTATCGACGATAAATTCCCCTCGTTTATCCGGCGCGGCGAAACGCCGAGCGCACGAGGCTTCGATAACTTCCCTTCTATCATCCTCCCTCTGTGGTGCATCTATTTTCGGGTGCACGTGGTGCTGCGCTCCCTCGCGGACTCATCGTCGATAGTTGCGTCTCGGAGCGCCTGCGATCAGGGACGAATTATTTCTGGGAGACTGACACTGACTGGAAGTCAAAACGAGGGAAGGGAAATGTCTTATCGCGACAGACAAGTTCCCTCGACAAGAGATCATTAAACTGAACTGTAAATAATGAATCGAAGATGGGATCCAAGTTGAACGTTTCATAAGGATAAAATGATTTGCAATATTTTTCTAATTAAGAGAAATGCGAGGAAAAATGCTATCAGTCTCCAATGTAATTTATTTAATATTTAATTTTATAATATATAAAATTTATTTACAATATTATTATTATCGTCAATCACATTATAGTATTACACTCGTATTCTAGATATTTGAGTAGAAGAGGCGCAATGTATTTTTAATAATTTTCTTGGATGAAAAATAGAGGGATGATCCACCGCGCGATAGGTTTTGTATTAAACTAACAGATGTGGTAGGCCTCCCTTGCATTTTTTTTCTTTTTCAAAAAAATGTTCAAATATTATTCCCTGCAATCGCTTGCGCGTTTGCGTCGTGGCGAGCAGCGATGCATGCGAGCGCAAATTGGATTGGACGGTGGGAACCGCCAGAGTGCGGCGATAAAATTTACTTTGTCTCGCATTTGAGAACGCGAGCAAGCTCTAGACGCTTTATACATTTTATTGCACTTTGCCCGCAACGGTGTATTCGGGAGGAGGTTTTTAAAAGGGGGCCACATCCTGTATTCTTCTCGCGGTTCACGGCGGAATTAAAAGAGAGGAAGAAACCCCATGTTTTTTTCCCTCGTTACACTTTTACACGACCTCTTACAGTTATTGCACCATTTTTCATGTTTTGGGTATCTTAAAAATGTGTCCTCTCTCTCTCACGAAACGTCGACGATTAAACGTACGATTCTAAAATGCAAATGTAAAAAAAGACAAAAGGAAGGAAAAAGAGGAAGAAACCTGGTGTCTTCTTATTACACTTTCTTATAAATTTTGTCGCGAGGTGGTGATAATAATTAATTCTAGGATTAGGATGTAATTTACCTATTTACACCTAAGAATAATTCAATTTGCGGTTTATTCCAGTGAATAGTATAGGCGATCAAAAACCTGAAGTTGGTTTTCAATAGTAAATGTTTTCGGTGATTGATACGCTTGAAAACCAGCTTCAATATGGTTTTTGATCGTTTATCGTCATTCTTTATGCCCTATCTACAAGTAAGGATAATCCTACTTGTAGCTTATTCCAGGGAGTAATAGGCGATTAAAAACCATCCTGAAGTTGCCAGATAGCACCACGTCCAAAATTGGTGCATAAAACATTATTAAGAAATCTTGAAGACATCTTGAAAAAATCTTATAATATATCCCAAACACGTCTAAAAACATTTTAAAGATGTCTTATGCACCAGTTTTGCACATGGTGCTGTCTGGGTGGTTTTCAATCGTACCAATCAAAAAGAATTACGATTGAAGACCAACTTCAGGATAGTTTTTGATCTATCCTATTCACTGATTGTAAGATAAGCCATAAATAGGATTTATCGTCATTCTTTATGCCCTATCTACAAGTAAGGATAATCCTACTTGTGGCTTATTCCAGGGAGTAATATAGGCGATTAAAAACCATCCTGAAGTTGCCAGATAGCACCACATCCAAAATTGGTGCATAAAACATTATTAAGAAATCTTGAAGACATCTTTAAAAAAATCTTATAATATATCCCAAACACGTCTAAAAACATTTTAAAGATGTCTTATGCACCAGTTTTGCACATGGTGCTGTCTGGGTGGTTTTCAAACGTACCAATCGAAAAGAATTACGATTGAAGACCAACTTCAGGATAGTTTTTGATCGTCTATCCTATTCACTGATTGTAAGATAAGCCATAAATAGGATTATCCTTAGTAGATAGAACAAAAGGGAGATTCGAGCCCCGCAAAGAGAAATCCAAGTAGCTTTATATTACATCAGTGGCTCGTCACGCTCGCGCGTTCCTGGAAATTTGCGTGATTGCGAAGGTCAACGCGGTATACGGGGGTACCGGCAACCAAGGACCCCTGCCGGGGCTCGAAGGAAAAGGGTGGCACGCCGCGGTGGTGCACGCCCGGAGTTATTGATCGCGCCGAAGCACGCGGGATCGGATTCGGGACTCACCATGGTCGCCTCGGAGAGCCGCCGAGAGCCTCTCGCGCATTTCTCCCCAAGGTGCCCTCTTCTCCGGATCCATCGGGATCGCTATGATCTAGACGCGAGCCACGATCGAACGATAAATATCGAAAACTCATTCGCGTCGGCGAAATTCAATCGTAAAAAGGATAAACCCACTACCAACCTCTTTCTTTTACTAAATAGATTTCTCTATTTTTTTATCATCCCTCGTGAATAACTTTTAGAAGCGCACTGAAATTATATCGATAGAGACAAAGCAGCTATACAGCAGAATGAGTTTGGTTTCTTTTTTTTAATATTAATCGCAACAAAGCAATTATATTAAAGAATTTAATATACATTTGATTGTTTTGATTAATTTTGCATTTCATAAAATGAATAAGAATTACGTACAGAGATAAAAATAAATTATAATAAAATGTTTTTTCATATAATTATCGAATATATTTTTTATTAAATAAAAAGTTTAGAGCAACGTTCTCGATTTATCGGCTGCACAAGAAGGAGGGTGTTTTTTGTTTATTAATTAGTTTATATCGCTATCAAATTTTATTTTTAAAAAAGTTAAATTAGACGCTGCACCATTATTCGCATCTTATAGATATCGTTTGTTATTTCGACATGTATATAACGACACTTTATTGATCAATAAGTAAGCAAATATACTCTGATTGTTGTCCATAGGTAAATGATTGCTACTCTCGCAATCAAAGTCCCGCAAATATTTACCGATATTAATGGACGGGAAGTACAAAGAACTCTCGTGTAGAGCTTTTATTAATCGCGGATATCGAATCACCACGATCGCATAACTGTATAATACGATTACACAAACAATCATTGATACAACGGATAAAAATTGTATACAAACCTACATATATCCACCTTTTGTTAAAATCGAAAATTAATTTAATCTTTGCAAATATAAATTATTAAAATTGCGCAGAATAATAATATATATATATATACGTGTGGAAAAAATATGAGCGATTTTTAGTAAGGCTCAATTAGACGAGTAAACGCTAATTGTAATTCGATTTGTGGCCAATCTATTGCAGGGATCTCACATTGGACAGTTTAATGAATAGTCAACACTTGTAATAATCAAAGGAGCCGACGTATTCCGAAAGTGGGTCGACGTGTTTCATTTCCAGATTCGATTTCAAAGTACCTGTGTGCAAACTCTCCTTTGTAAAGAGAAATCGCAAACAGGGCTCGTCGACCCTACCGAGTAAGACAAACAAAAGGTCCACATTATCGACCTTAATCGATCGACTGAGATATTTCGGTGCGGATTACTATGCTACCCGGTTTGTTTTTTTTTCTTTTATTGGTCGACGAGGGAACGAAAAATCTAACACGCGAATCTCTATCGAAGCGTGTTGACACGCGTTCAATTCCCTCGATACTGATCGATGGACGTGACCCACTAACGAAATGGAACGAGAAATCGACATCCCTCTTTGAGCTTCCAGCGAAGATGTCGACAACAGTCCGTATATACCGAGAGGCTTTTGAGAGGCTTAAGGCTGAAAAGAGCAGCGTTGGTTAAGTAACCCAGTCGTCCATCCTTGAACGTCAAATATCAAACGCGTCTAAACGACATGTGTTTTTTTGTATAACTTTAATTCTGTTTTAATTTAATTTTATCAGCATCTAACGCAATAATGATAAAAAAATTTTATTCATAAAAATATATTTAATTCAAATGTTTAAATCAATAAAACAAAAAAGGTTCTAAATATGTTAATTATAGATAATAAAAAAGGTCAAACGTGAAATAAAGGCGCGAATAAAAATTACTAGAGATAATTTTAGGTATTGTTTATTGGCGTTTAAAATTAAACGTTTCGGTCTTATTTCGAGCCATCGTCTCTCGGTAACTGGATAACAAAAATAGAAACGTAAAATGAAGACTTTCTGAAATTGAACACATTAGAATTTCCAGTGTTAAAAGATGAAGTAAAGCGTGAAGATACTATAAACAAAATGGAGCGTTATACGATATGGGGAATATTTATGTGTGAATGCACACGCACACAATTAACGTCTCTTCCAAGAAGGAGCGCCGAAACTTCCGGAGCTCCGCCACCTGGAACGCATCCTTTCACGCGTATTTTTATATCCCCGCTTGTTTTCTCAAGGGTTCTCCCGACCACGTCGCAGCTTATCTCGAGCGACTCATCTTCACAAATCGTACCCCGAGATATCGTTTCTATCGAAAATGACTCGCTAGCCGTGTCGAGATGACGTTTCATATCGACGTGATATCAGGAAGCTGCGAAAACTAATATTAAAAAAATTGAAAAAAAATATTTATCTTTATGTAAGATAAATTTCTTATATATAATATATAAATAAATTTTTATCTTATATATATTTTTTTATATAAGATAAATTAAGATAAATTTTTATTGAAGATGAGAGAAAAATTAAAGAACTCAATTGAAAATATAAAAATGTAGGAATAATATCGAAGATGTTTCGATCGGACGCTCTACAATTTTTCTTCGGCTTTCGCGAGAAAATGGAGCGTGAGACTCCAAAGGATCTTGCGAGAGGGAAAATTGCAACATTATCATTTGCAACACTATCTGGAAGAAACGGTTCATTAATTTCCGTTTCTCTCGATTTCACCGAGGTTTCGCGTCGTCCGTCGACGATTAATCTTGCCGCCTGTTTTGTCGCAACGCTACATGCATCCCCCTCGTTATCGTGCCGCGGCAATTCCAGGCGAGTGCATCCTGTAATAACGAACATTCGCGAGAGCGCAGAGAGTGAGAGAGAGAGAGAGAAGGGGCGGTCGGACACGAAACTGGGTTGCACTACTACCTTGGACTGTGCGAGACCGACTAACTGCCGACAGGCAGGGCAGACTCGTGCAGAGAGCTCGCTCCTATGCATATATGCTGTGTATGCGTACATACGCGATGTTCCCCGGGGGAGAAGGCGAAATGGGAAACTCGGTCGCCGATGCATGCGCGCCTATCGAGTGTCGTTGCCGATTAATCGGGTTACCGGGGCTGATGGGACATACATACACCCACATATTTTCAGACCCCTATCGGATTCTATCTCTCCCTCCCTGTTTGCGCCAAAAAAACGGAGAAGCTGAAAAATATTAGTATTTTTTGTAATTTTGTAATTTTTGAAGAATATAATCCCTTATCTACATCTAAGGATAATTAGGATAGACGATCAAAAACCACCCTGAAGTTGGTTTTCAATCATAAATTTGTTTGATTGGTATACGGTTCAAAACCAACTTCAGGATGGTTTTTAATAGTATAAACGATCAAAAACCACCCTGAAGTTGGTTTTCAATCATAAATTTGTTTGATTGGTATACGGTTCAAAACCAACTTCAGGATGGTTTTCGATCGTTTATATTATTTACTGCAATAAGTCACAAGTAGGATAAGATTCCAAATAGCACCATGTCCAAAATTGGTGCATAAGACATCATTAAGAAATCTTTAATAAATCTTATGATATAAATATCTCAAAAACATTAAAAACATCTCATGGCGCTGTTTGGGATTTCGCTGCACGTACTCGGGGTGATTTTAGATATACCGATCTACAGAGGTCCAACACAGTGTTTGAAACGTTATTTGCTGCGCTATAAAACGTCTATAAAACTCGCTCTCCATTTTATGAGAATAGATCGCGTCCGTTTTCTGGAGAACTCAGCGTTTGCTCGGATCGGACGAGGCTTTTAAAACCGTCCATTCTTACGAGATTGAGGCGGAGAACAGCTCGTTAACGGCCGGAACCCGTTTCACGAAAAGGGCACGTCTTTTTGCAGGAGTACGTGAATCGATACCACCAGCAGAAAATAGGCGCCTTGGAGCCGCATGTGTTCGCCCTGGCGGAGGCGGCGTACAAGTCTCTTCAGGACACCGAGAGCAACCAGTCCTGCGTGATATCGGGCGAGAGCGGAGCCGGCAAGACCGAGACCACCAAGTTCATCCTGCAGTACCTGTGTTCGGTCACCAGCAACGTCGACACGTGGGTCGAGCAGCAGATCCTAGAGGCCAATACCATCCTCGAGGCATTCGGTAACGTTCGCCTTCAATGATATAATGTCTTCAATCTGCGCAGACTTCTTCAGATTTGGTATCTCGTCCTACGCGACCTCGACTAAATTTTGCTGCCAAAACTTCTCTGCCTTAATTCATATTTTATATAATGATAATCGAATTTTTTATTTACTAGTCAAATTAATATAATGGAAATATGAAGTAAACGAGATAGCACTTCCTTGATTATCCGGATGAAACTTGGATGATGTGGCCAGATGTAGGATATTAAAGATTGAATATTTGCGATAAATTATTATTACTTACAATATACTTTCAATAATAAGAAATTAATTTTGAATTAGAAATTTTCTAAAGAAAAATATTCTAAAAACGCGTAATAACATATAAAACTGGAGAGGAACAATGAGATAAAATAGAAGTTGAGTGTAATTTATTTACCAAAATAATGTTTTAAACGATTAAATCAGAATCAATATTTTATTCGAATGGAGAAATAAACAGAGTAGATTCTTTATTGCGTTCGGAGATAAAAACAGTCGTGATTCATCAGTAGCAGACTTAAGGTATATGAGCGTGGCTGCAACTCAGGTGTTAAATGCAATAGCAAGGGGAACGAAGTGGGTCACGAGGCAAAGAGGTTTTATGAATAAAACACATCTGTCTGGTGTCGTTCATTCATCTCATGGAATAACGACGTCCTATTCTTTTTTAAGTCCGACTTATTTTTGAATCATCCTCGTTTCGAGTTCCGTATTTAAACGAGTCTGGAAAATCTAGAGAATATCTTTGACGAGAAAGATATTTCTCGATATTTGAAGCAAAGAGAGCGGAAAGAGAGCATTTAAGTTAATTAGTGACAACTGATGAGAAAATAGATTTAATTTTTTTAGGAAACGCGAAGACGGTGCGAAACGATAACAGTTCGCGCTTCGGCAAGTTCATGCAAGTGTGCTTCGACAACAAATGGATGATCAAGGGATGCATCATTCAGGACTACCTGCTGGAGCAGAGCCGTATCACTTTTCAGAGCCCGGAGGAACGCAATTATCACGTATTTTATAAGCTGGTCGAAGCTGGCACGAAAGACAAGGAATTCGCCGAGCAATATAAGCTACGACCGGCCAGTCATTACAAATATCTCAATCAGTCCGGCTGTATAAAGATCGACGGAATTTCTGAAGCTAAGCAATTCGACGCTCTCAGGCTCGCCTTCAATGTACTTCAGGTATGAAGCTAGGACTCTCTCATCAAAAAGAAATTACGGTCTTGTTTCTATTATTACCAAATAATTGTTAATGAACTTCCTTTTTACTCCATATAGGTTGCGCCGGAAATGTGCGAAGGCATTTACCGAGTACTATCGGCCATTCTGTGGCTCGGAAATTTAAGTTTCGAGGACGTCGACGGGGAAAGATGCGAGTTGTCGACGGAGGACACGAATATAATCGACACGGTGGCGCCATTACTGGGTCTTCAAGTGGAGGATCTCACCAGGGTGGTACTGATACGGCAGATAAATGTTCGCGGTAATATAACGGAGATCCCGCTGAAAGTGCAGGAAGCGCGGGAGAACAGGCACGCGATGGCAAAAGCGCTCTACTCGCGCACTTTTGCCTGGCTCATCAATCACATCAACAATTGCACGAACCCAGGCCAGGATAGCTCGCGATTTCTCGGGGTGCTCGACATCTTTGGCTTCGAGAACTTTACGTTGAACAGCTTCGAACAACTCTGCATCAATTACACAAACGAGAAACTGCACAAGTTCTTCAATCATTATGTCTTTGCACTGGAGCAGGAACTCGTAAGTTTATTTTCTATCCTTTAGTCGCGTAATTTTTTTACGTGTATCAAAGAATTTTTATTTTATTTGTAAATGTCGAAAAAAATTTGCTTTTAGTATCGCCAAGAGGAGATTCATTATTCCCACATCACGTTCACGGACAACACAATGTGCCTGGAATTGATCGAAAAGCCTCCACGATGTGTTCTCAAATTACTGACCGAGCAATGCCATATGCCGAAGGGCTCGGACCTGGCCTATCTGACAAATTTGCATGCGGAATTCGAGAACCACTCGTGCTATGTGAAGGGAGATGATCGACGGAAGTGGGAAAAGGAATTTGGGGTCAAACACTACGCCGGCTGCGTAACGTATACCGTCGAGGGTTTCGTCGATAAGAATCGGGACGTTCAGCAGGACGTGTTTTTCGACTTTATGTCTAGAAGCACCAATGAATTCGTCCAGGAGATCTCTGTCTATCAAGATCTTTTAGGATGCACTGTTGGACGCGCAACTGGCGGCGCGGCCACGACAATGTCACGAGGAACGTCGAAAGGCAAGCCGACTCTCTGCGACTCCTTCCGACATCAGTTGCAAGCCTTAGTAGACGTATTGCAAGCGACGACGCCGTGGTACGCGCGCTGCATCAAACCGAATATGGAGAAGATGGCGAACCACTACGACGAGAAGCTTGTCCTGGACCAGCTCAAGTATCTCGGCATGCTGGATATTATACGCATACGAAAAGAGGGCTTTCCGATACACATGTCGTTTCACGACTTTGTCGCGAGGTATCGTTGCCTGGACAAGGGCCGAGCCTCGCTCTCCTCCAATGAGAAAGAAGCAACCAGATTCTTGATCAGCAAGCAAGGTATACCGCAAACCGAGTGGCAGATCGGCCGGACGAAAGTGTTTCTGAGAAATTACGTGCACGAGCCTTTGGAAGACTCTAGAAATCAGGTGGTAACGAGAAACGCTATCGTAATACAGAAGATTTGGCGTGGCTATGTCAAACGACGTGGTACGTTTTCTCTTCCACAAATCTTTACTATTTTAATTTTAATGTAATTTTATTATAGCTTCTATATAAAGTAAAATAATATTTACACGGTTTTTACTAGTTAGCCTCAGTAAATAATAATTAAAGAGTAACAAATGGGCAAAGAGCACGTACACGATCTTAGTGTAAAGTTATAATAAAGTAATAACAGCAATCAATTGTCAAACGTTTCGGTTATTATTTAACCATCTTTAGTGACAAACTTTAGAATAGCAGTGATATCAATCAAAAAACAACGACCTATCTCGACATATCAAACGGAAGAGATAGATCGTTGTTTTTTGACTAATATCACTGCTATTCTAAAGTTTGTCACTGAACATGGTTAAATAATAACCGAAACGTTTGACAATTGATTGCTGTTATTACTTTATTACAACTTTACACTAAGATCGTGTACGTGCTCTTTGCCCATTTGTTACTCTTTAATGAAAATAATATTTGTTTTTATTTATTTGAACATTATTATAATTGTTATATTCTCTCTGATATGTTATTATTCTCTCTGATAGAATACAAGCGTGTAAGAGACGCAGCGCTCAAGGTGCAACACGCGTACCGCGGCTGGAAACTGCGAATAATGTTCATCAGAAAGCGCAGAGCTGCTATAGTGATCCAGAGTCACCTGCGAGGTGTCTTCGCGAGGGAGGTTGCTGCTGCGCTGCGTGAAATGAGACGAGTCGATGAAGAGATGAGAAAGAGGGAGCGACTGGAGCAAGAACGAAAATTGATGGAGGACAAGAAGGCGTTGGAGGAAAGCCAGAGGTAAGAGGAAACAGGGAATTTATTGGATTTTCTCAACCGACTTTGCTTACAGTAGTTATAGTAGTCTTTGCGTAAGAAAACCGATATGCAATCGATTAATTATGTGCGATCGACTTGCGTGCGTTAATGGCTTGTGTCCCTTTTGTAGCACGCAGTACAATGGTATTGCCGGGATGGAATCTGGGTAAGTTTTCTCAACGACGGAAGCTCGTGTGACGTGCGCGTATAACGGCATGCATTCGTTGCATGCCAAGTATCGTTGCGTGTAGTTCAACGTTTGCAAGAGTTATCACTTCCTAGTGATATAGAGAGAGACGGAGGCATGACTATAGATACATATATTATGTGTGTGAACGTGAACACCGATTGTGATACTAAATATTACACATTCAGAAATTAGGTACTTTATTTTAATTGAAAGAGGGAATGCGAAAGATACACGCAACAGCATTACTCGAAACTTTAATATTCGCTAAAAGCCACACAATTAGTATAATCATATCATAGATAATAAATCATAGATGTTACGTCAGATTATTTCTATCTATAGCTAAAATTTATTCTTTACATCTTTGTTACAAATTGCTCGCCTACAAGTTTTTAAATTCATTATTAAAATTATTTTTTATTTACACCGTTATTGCACTGTTATTGCATCACGATAATAATTAAATTATTACATGAAATTTATTTTTATCCTAAAACTTGCAGCACTTGCATTTTTGAGAAAAATTAATCAATCATAATATAATGTACAATGTAATTTTCTTTCGATTTTGCAGGAAAGCGCAGGAAGAAATTGCCGCCCTGTCGCAGATGGCCGAGCAAATGAACTCGAAGATGGCCGCCTCGGATTTGCAATCGGTAGACCTAGACAATCTATTCTCCTTCCTGTCCGACGTACAATCGACCAAGAGCAATCAGATTATCGATGAGATAGGGGAGCAGATGGACGAACTGGTCGAAGATTTAGACGTGGAATTAGAAACTGTTATCCAACAAGAAATGGAATTAAATTCCAAGGCCGCCGCCGAATCGAAGGTCACTTCTCCTGTCAACGGACAGGAAGTGACGTCTCCGCAGCAACGATTACCTAGTGCAAATAGCATGACCAGCAGCAAACTCGGTCAACCGAGTCTTCCGGAACCCACGGAACCACCTCCACCGCCACCTCCTCCGGCACCACCCTTAGCGGTCAATGGCGACTCGTCGGATGACAACAACGAACCGATCTACGAGTCTGTATTGCCGCGCGAGGAGAACGATCCTGACAGTCCAAGCGTCCACAATGGCGGTCACAGTCCTGGTCAAATAGTCAACGGTGAAGCGTGCGGATCTTTGCCGTCGAGTAATAAAATGTCTAAGGAAGTTGCCAGTAGTCCGCCATCTAGGCCAGAGTCGAGAAGTTCCTCTGGTCATCATCATTCGCATCATCATCATCATCACCATCATCAGACGATGATACCCCAGGCGCAGCAAAACGGTCATGATCAGCCGCAGTCGCAGCCGCAAGCGTCGCAACAGTTGCCGGTCGAGCGTGAGCAGCGTCGCAAGTGCCGCGTGGAACGCAAATTACAGGAACTCGAGGACAAGAAGGAACAGGAGAACGAGACTACTTATCACGATATCGTCGAGTTTGCGCAAAATTATTTCAACAGTCACGAACGTTCACCGGAAGGCACCATAATGGCTACGCTGACGAGAAAATCACGCGGCAAGAGCATCGAATTCATTCCGAAATACGAAATGGTCACGTACTACAAGGGATCCAGCATTCCGAATTCGCATATTCATATGTATGATCCCGATAACGTGAACGTTGCGTGTTCTGTATTCAGGGTAAGTGAAATATATTCCCTATATTATTTCGTTAATTTAAATAATGTATATTTTATATATAAATATATATGTATTATATTCATACTTGTAGTATATTATATGTTGTCTTATTTTTTTCTTTTAGGACTTGTGCAAGTACATACGCGGCGAAATGAAACTGGACCAGGAGATAGCCACGATTCAGAGTATCATCGCTTACGGGATCGAGCGGGAAGAATTACGAGACGAAATTTACGTGCAAAGCATACGTCAGGCGACCAACAATCCCAATTCTGAGTGGGCAGAACGCGTATGGTTGTTATTATGCTTGGCGATCGTCTCCTTTCAACCGAGCAAACTTCTCTACAAGTACTTTGTCTCATTTCTGAAGAAGAATCTCGCCCTCGAGGGCAAACTGAGACAGTATGTGCAATGGTGTGTGGACAATTGCAAGAATACTAAGGTTTCTTGTAGACAGCATCCACCGTCCACCGTAGAAATTGCAGCTATGAGACGATTGGGCACCATAGTCTGCCGATTCTTCTTTCTGGACGGAAGAACGAAAGCGATCGACGTACATCCGACCGACACAGCTGCCGATGCTGTCGCCAAGCTTGGAGAAAAATTGGGTCTTCGCTCGCTGGAAGGTTGGGCCATTTATCAGAGCAGACCGGACGGGGAGGAGCACGTACGGGCTCACGATTATCTGTACGACGTGATCGCCGCATGGGAGATGTAAGTGTAATGATGTTGCGTAGTTGATTGGAAACGAGAGTTTATTGTATAAATTATAAATTCTTGTTTAAGGAAACAATGCAAATTAAATACCGCACAATCGACGTTCTCGACGTTGCGACGCGGTAATAATCCTACTTTAGGTAGCGGTGACAATCGCTTCGTCTTCAAACGAAGATTATTCCGTAATCCGAGAGAAATCTCGCAGGATCCCGTGGAAGTTAATATGCTGTACGCGCAAGCGGTCTATAATGTTGTAAAGGTACAAGATATGAAACTTCTACGCTATAATAATACTGAGAAGCTTTTATGTTTTCTTATCATTATTTATTCCTCTTTTAGTGCGACGATTTTCCGGTGTCCGAGAAAGTGGCGCTGCAATTGGCGGGATTGCAGGCACAAGTATCCCTTGGTGATCCCAAGGACAACGACAGATTGGATTACTACAGCGAGGTGGACAGTTTTCTACCCTACAGAATCAGTCGCGCCCGCGGCGACGACGTTTGGGTGCCGATTATAGCGCAAGCGCACCGACAATACGGCGCCGGACGCAAGGAACTGGCGGCCAAAGTTTTGTATCTATCCTGCGTGATGCAGTATCCCCTCTACGGCACGACAATGTTCAATGTTACTTATCGAGGATATTGGTCTTACGGCAACCAATTGATTCTTGGTATCAATTGCGACGGTCTCATGCTAATCAAGCCGGACGACAAGTTTGTCCTGTCCGAGTATCGTTATCAAGATGTCGAGAGCATCATGCTGGATCCCAGCGACTCGTTCATTACGCTTTCGCTGTTGCGACATAATCCTGATAGTTCGCACAAATGTTTCGTATTCGAAACCCTGCAGAAAAACGAGATTGGCAGTCTGATAGTCAGTTACTGTTCAGCGCTGGCGGGTTGGATTACGGAAAATGAAGTGCCCACGAAAAAGCTCAAGTGCATCACTAACGAGGATCGCATAAGGCTCTACCACAATCTGGTTAATTGTCGGCGAACGCTAGTCGATTCGGAAATCCTCAGGAAACCGCAAGATTCCGGCGGTGGTTTTCTCAGGAACACTCTCGCAGATTATCTAAGCATCGAATAGAAAAACTCAGGCAAGAACACGGAAGCGCTGATCACGGAAGCGAGACCTATAAAGGCTTCCCGTACGCTTATTGGGCATTCAGTAGGCAGCAGGTACCGCAAAGTCTGTCGAAACTACCAGATCCCGACGAGCAGATCTCATTAACTATCTTCCAATTGATTCTGACGTATGCGGGACTCGGCCAGAATGGTGACACGGTGCGTAGAGTCGAAGACGAGCACGTGAATCTCATACAGACCGTCATGGAACGTTGCATACGAAAGGAAAACTTGCTGGGCGAACTATATCTACAATTGATCAAACAAACGACCGATCATCCGGATCCGAACAATCGCGTTAATCTGCGACACTGGGCGTTGCTCTCGCTCGCGTGTTCCGTGATCCTTCCGCCTCAGAAAGTTATACGTAAATACTTGATCGCGCACCTGAAGCGATGCGCCAGCGATTACGTCACCGAAGAGGGCAAGTACGCGAGATTCGCGGAAAAGTGCCTTTACAAGACTCAGGGCACTCGAAGACGACAATGGCCGCCGAGTCGCGAGGAGATCATGTGCACCATCAATCGCCGACCTATCTACGCAAGATTCCACTTTATGGACGGCCAGTATCACGCCGTCGAGTTTCATCCGTCTGCGACTGCCAGGGATGTCATGGAGATTATCAAGACTAAGATAGGGCTCGAGGAAACTGCTTTGGGTATATCATATTTAATTAAAATTTATAAATATTGCAAAATTAATTTTTATTTCTTCCAATTTACAGTGCTAAATTTCTACTTGACTGATATTTATTACATTTGCTTTACATCAGGCTACGCAATTTACGAAGTATTGGGACCGACCGAACGATCGCTGATCCCCGAAGAGAAGATAGCCGACGTCATGTCCAAGTGGGAACGATACAGAACATCACAGCAGACTCAACAGGGCTCACAACGGAAGCACGTACATCACTTCTTCCTGTTCAAGAAGCACTTGTTCCTAGACCAATACATGAACCTGGATGATCCTGTGGAAAAGGAGCTATTGTATCATCAAGTGCTGCACGATTTGCGCGCCGATCGGTTTCCCATCACTGAGAAAGAAGCTGTGAGTTACCATTTTAAATATAACATCTCTATATACTCGATTTTTATATATTTTTTTTCTTTTCTTTTCTTGTTTTTTTGCTACATTATTATACTATTTATCTTTTATTTTACTTTATCTTAATTCGTTTAATTAATATTTTTTATAATTACTTTTGAATAATGTTGATTACTGTTTTTACGAGATTAATTTCACTCGCAGATGATGCTGTCGGCTTTGCAAGCGCAACTGGAAATGGGCGACTGCCAGGATAACATATCGGAGCAAGACTATCGATCGATATCGAGTCACTGCCTACCGTCAAGACTGGTACCATGTTTATGCGTGGACGGTGTACGCCAGCACCATCAGTCCTTGAGGGGAATGACGCCGCCCGAAACGAAGAAAGCTTTCCTGAATCTGATCCAATCGTGGCCGTTGCATCGAGCAACGATCTTCGATGTAATGCAATCGTTCACCTCAAATTGGCCTCGCGTACTCTGGCTGGCTGTTGATCAGCAAGGTCTTCATCTTCTGGAACATCGTTCTAGAAACGCACTGTGTACCTACGAATATAGCAGTATTCTAAGTTATACGCCTGCCGTTAATTGTCTGATGATCATTACCGGCACGGATAAGAAGCAGAGCAAGGTCATTCTCACCACATCACAGGTAATACGATTAAAATGGTCAAATATCATGATTGCAAACTTTATAAATCATATAAGTACGTTTAATTTCAACGTGCTTTATTATAGGCTCATCAAATAGCGAATCTGATTCGAGAATACATGGAGGTACTTCAGTCGCCGCCGGAAATACCAACGAGACGAGACCCGGCGATGGCCGCTCAACAATTCGCTGCTCAGCAGCAGCAGCAGCAGCAACAGCATCAGCAACCGCCCGCAACACTGCCGAATTCTACGACCGGTGGACGAAATAAGTCCCGACCCGCTTCGATGTTACACAGAGGTGCTCCGATAATACAATCGCAAGCTAGTTAGAATGGTTATAGATAAATCTCTTTCGTAGGAATAATATATATTTAAAAAACATAGTTTCCCTTCAACCTGGTACCTAAATCGAATTTTCGTCGTCGAACACGTCGCACGTTCCATAATTATAAAGTGCCATAAACTCGAGATACATACACAGCGGTATTATCTATTTTATCAAAGAATACGCATAACTCTATATTATATATATATATATATATATACATATTATATTGTATAATTTTAATTTCCGTACACGCCGCTCCATCTCGTTCCGCGATAAAACGCTCCTTGTATGCGTAACTATATCATAGCAATATAATCCTTTGAGAGATTAAAACACGTAGAATGACGTTTAGTATCAGGTTGTGGCGAAAAGAGAACGATTTGCATTTAACACTCATCGTGCGTCTAATGTTAATATTATGTAATGGTTCGATTGTTCGATATCCTATCGGACATCAGACCTAAACAAGCTAACATCTGAGAAGCGTATTCCACAGATATCGAAAAGACATCTCTCATCAATCTTTCAAACGTTCTTTGGAGGAGCTTTTAAATGTCATCTTGAAAAAGTACCGATTTAACGTTAGATGCCACGACGATGATTAGGTACAATAGAAATATTGATCCGGGGCTTTAAATTGATGATGCTTTTCTCGGTCGGGCCTATCGAGAAGCGAGTACATATATGTACACTGTAAAAAAAATATGTAAAATTACATTAAAAATATGTAAAATTACATAAATAATAAATGTAAAATTACATGATAAATAATGAAAAGGTAAACATTTTTATTATTTATTGTGTAATTTTACACTTATTATTTATGTAATTTTACATATTTTTGTGTAATATATTACATATTCTTTTACAGTGTACTGTCGTCGAGAACGACAACACTAGCCTAGGGACTCTTATTTCTTCCACTATTTATTAGACTTACAATTAGCTTGAAATCTCGAAGAGATTCGTCAAAGGCTATAGAATTTTAGTCTCCGCGTAATATATATAACCGATTTTTAGCGAGATGATGAGTGATAAACAACTGCCATTAGAAGAGTTATATCGACCGCGAGGAGAAAGACTTGCCGAAGACTTTTTCTATTTCTATTACAACCGTTTATCATTGTTGCCTTTTTTACCCGAGCGACCGCCGCCACGTTTTTTGATAACGATCTTTCTGCAACACACAAATACAACACGATAATTAAATGCAATATACGTCGATACGTTTTATTCCGATACACTCCGGGGTCGGCAGCCAATAATAATTATCCCACCGGCATATCATATTGATTGAAGGATAATGAAATATCGAAGATAAGAGAGAGAGAGTGAGAGAGGGCGATTAAGGAAATCGCAACACTTATAAAGCGACCAAAAGAAAAAAATGTAATCTCTCGAACATAAGCATATGACGTTTGACTGCGAATGTTGCCTGCTGTATCGATGCTAATCGCCATACGCACAATTATACTTCAAACACGATGATATACATATAGTGGCGCGGCCAGAACCTTATAATATTTATTAATATAAATTCTCGCGACAAGATGGGATCTAAATATATAGATTATTTAATGAAAATATACAATTCTCGAGTATGGAGAAGAGAACGTTTTGCTGTCAAACATTTGTGCATTTTTTGATCGGATAATATATCCTAAATACTTTATAGTCACCGTTATATTTCCCGAAACCCTGAGGTTGTAGGGTATAATCCGAGGAGAAAAAAGCTTTTGAATCAATTTATTAAAGTCTATATCCGACGTATGTTTAACGTATACCGTTTTGCGAAAATTATGCAATTACACTGTAGACTATTGAAATCTGCGGGATCCAAATGAGATTTGTATTTGTAAACAAAATCCGTATTCGAAAAAATATTTCTCGTTTGCTAAAACGATAAAGCATGTAATGTCCAATATATTACCGCGAACGTACATAATATTTACAGATATATTGCGCAAGGTATCGCGAAAATTTGCGTGAACGACAAATGTAAAAACGAGTCGACTAATCCCGTTCTTCGTTCTTCTAGACAATCTTCCTAATATCGTGCTTTCTTCATATAAAGTTAATCACTATCTCTAAACTTAGAAAGAAGAAAGAGAAAAAGGAGAAGAAAATAATAAATAGCTCATTGTGCATGATCGACATGATTGCATTCTTTTAACAAGTATGAAATTGTGTCTAATCGAGATTTCAACTTTTTATTTTTAATCCAAGACCGAAGTTCGAAATTTTGTGAGTATAAAACGGTAAATTGTTTCGCGCGAATATCTATGATATTTAATTAATTGACGATTTATTTAATATTATCATTAATATTTAATTAATAATTTCTTTTCAAAATGTGCAATGCTCATTGCAATGTAATAATCTGCAATATTTCTCCTTGACTTTACACGAAATCTTCGCTACGATCAAATTTTTCGCGAAAAAAATTGTCTTTTGTATTAAAAAAAGAAAAAAAAATAACGTTTCGAATAAAAAAGAAAGCAAGAAGAATGAACGATATTTCCGACTTGATATTTTGTAATATTTTAAATTATTTAAATTATGCGGTTGGAAGAATTTTTTTTATAATTTATTGTTATTGAGTTAGGATTTTATAATAGAAATTATATTTAAATTATATATAAATTCGTGTACAATATAACTAAAGAGGTTTGTGAAGAGAGAGAAGCCGTCGAGTTTTGTTCGATTCTGGGAAAATATTCTCAGGACCGCAGTAATGCGAAGGATAAAGCTTTGATCTCTTTGGTCTTCTCTCGAGAAGATCACGAAGAAAGGCTTTTGGCGATTTTGTTGGTTCTCATTTCCGCTCGAAAGTTTCCGCGGAACCTCGACGTGTGTGCAGATATAGACTGTGATCCGCTTTGGGAGTCTTTAGTCTTCGAGAGCCGTTTAATCGAGTGAGACTACGTTTCGTGTTATTATATACATATATACGATATGCATGAGACATGTATATGAACGCTTGCGTTGTACGTGTGGTTGTGTGCCGAGGGAGAAGAGATGATAATTTAAGAGACACTTAAGGAACGTCTGGAACGGATGTTTAGAATTTTACTCTTCGGATATCGTCAAAGTTTTCGGGACGTTTCTCGACGAAGAACTCTAACTCGAGAAGAGAGGAGAAGTTGTTGACTCTTCGAGCGTCTTTGAAACCCTTGTATCGTCTGAATAGTTAAATTCTAAAATCCACTTCGGACTCTGGCTTTAGAAAACGCGTTTTAAATTTTTTACGTTCACGTGCGTTTGTGTGCGCGAGAGCGAATTCAAGTGATTGTGATTAATTATTATGTAAGAAATAATAACGCGCGTGCATGCATATGTTACTTAATTAAGTGATATGGCACCAGCCATACACATATAGCTTTTAAGCGAACTATAAGTTATTGGTTGACACATGTTATTGAATGATATATATAAAAAAAAACGAAAGAGAGAGATCCCGTGTAAATAAGTATATAACTATAATATATATATAAATATATAAATAAGGATATATATACGAGCTCGCACAACAATACGATGAGTGATGAAAGATCAGCGCGTAAACGTCGTTGCTACATGTGCAAGAGAGATTCGCGCCTATACGTATTATATAGAAAATATACATGCATATTATATATGGATAAATAAATAAATAAATATATATGCAATTCGGGGTGAATATTTCAATACATATAGTAATTGCCCGTTTTCATACTGTGTGTGCGTATCATGTCTATATATTTTTTCTATTCCTTTTGTTGTATTTTAAAAATGAATAATATATTTCATGCAATTATTGAAAGAAATCATTTTGCCATATTTTAATATCCATATTTAAAAATTTTCAGATTTAAAATTCTAAGTTCTTAAAATTGTGCAGATTTTGACATTTGCGTCACTTCTTATTTTTAATTATAATTCTCCCGATACTTGACAACCTTTTAAACGTTAAAATTTTGCAACTCGTAAAATTGCAGACAAACAATAAAATTATCGTTCAAAAAAAGTAAAAAATTCTCAAATTAAAATGTGAGCCAGAATATAATTATGTAAGAAGTGGCGCCAGTTCTAAAATTCTACAAATGACAATTTCTACACAACTTTGGACAATATCGCACGGATGTTTAAAGAATGATAAACAAAAGCATAATTATCTATATCTTCTTTTTATTTGTGATTCTTTAGACAATAATCAGACAAATAACAGTGTTCGCTCCCTTTGGCGATTGCCCGTGTAATTGCTTGTGCGACACGAGCCAGTTTTAACTCTGGTGTCAGTTATATTTTTTATCTCTTTATTACAACATATATATTTTATATATGTATCTCTTGCGTTCGCGTTTAATCCTACACAGCTTTGTGGCCACAGCACCGAGGAAGCCAAATCAAGACAGCAAGGACAGAGGCAATCAATTTGTGCACGCGCGTACGTGTTTAGACTTGCGTTAAATAATTCGCCACAATAATAACAATAATTATTGTAATTAAAAAAATAATAACATTAACGCTAGCGATTACACAATAATGGTCGACGAATAATAAAATTGTAATAATTATACCGTGATAATTAATTATGGCGATAAATAACCACATCTATTTGTATGTCGTTAATGTGGATAATTGCATTATTTCATTCGTTTGTTGCCACTTTGTCTCTTTCAATCTCAATATTTTCCAAGATGTGCTCTTCCCCTAATTTTACCGTATAAATATGGTTTTTGACTCGTTCGATTTCTCGATTTTCCACACCTTAAATTCTCTCTCCGTTTCTCATTCTACTCATTTTGTATACAAGGTGACCTTACGCCGGAATAGAATGATTTCTCTAGTACGCGATAGTGTCGATTTGTGGTGTGTGAATATTATATAAATATATATATCATATTATAATTTATATGCATACAAGCCGATCGATTATAAATAAATCTGCCTATATATTTTTTTTATATATAATTATAATATTAATGCATTTATTTATATAACATATTAATTATATTTTGATCTATTAGTCAAAGATTTATTAGCATTGCGTGTGCGAGTAGTTTATTAATTTAAGGCTCCTGGCTCCTCGCCATGACCATGTATTGGATTGTGATGTCAGAGACGAAGGCACACGCTGAAAATTTTTAAATGTCATTTTTAATTAAAAGATATTTCAGATGGCTTTAGCACACTCTTAAAATGCCTCGAAAACTATACTTCAGCAGTCAAGCAACAACCGTAAAATGATATCAGACTTTGTCACGGAATGCGTATGTGCAAAGACCAGACGAACTGCACTTCGTATTACAATCATTGTAAAACTGTTGCTTGATTATAAAAGGAAAAGGATAGTTTTCTCGAACTATTTTAAAAGTGTGCTAAAGCCACCTGAAGTAGTGTTTCATCGAAATATCTTTTCATCTAAAAATGGCACAGAAGAATTTTGAGCATGTGTTTTCTCGCTTCTGACGTCACGATCTCAACATGATCGGTGAAGAGCCAGGAGCCTTAAGTACTTATCAGATTGCCGTGGAATTTGTACAGAAGAGTGTGTGTGCGTGTGTGTATCCCATATGCGCATACGAGGACACGATTTACATTCGCTGGCGTTTCTCTTTCTTTTTTTTCTTTTTTTGGCACTTGCAATAATTAAATCGCTGAGATTCTTTAGGGATACGTAGAGAGAAAGACGGCGTGTCCCGAAACAAGCAATTCGTCGCTCCGGATGATACA